CCTGAGATATACTAAATATATATACTAAAATAGTGAGATTTTTGGTATATTTTTGGTTTTGTACACGTTAACAATACAGAGCTCATGGAGATTTCCACAGCTAACAGGTTGGTAAATAACCAGAAAAACAACACTTCTATAGGTGCCGGCTGTGGGAAACTAGAACACTTAAAAAAGGGCAGGAAAGCACAAAGTGATCACAGCTGGAGACGGTGAGCATAAATTGGCCAGCTGGTCTCCATAACAGCAACAATGATCTGGCAGGAGACTGTTGCAACCTCCAGCCTGATAAACCCAACTCCTGACCACCAGAAGCACGGCAAGTGAGGAGATGAGCAGCTAAACTCTGTCCATGGTCAGCCAAGCAACGCCACCCGGGCCCACAACTGAGCAGGGAAACTAAAAGTAACGCATTTTTATAGCCCTGCCAGAGCTTGTTTTGTTTTTATTCTAGCACATGCAGTAACAAAAAAGCATAATTTACGTGAATGTTAACACAAAGAGTCGTATCTACACGTAATGTGCAAATGAGAAACTGCAATTCTGAGCTGAAAATGATTAATCTGCACATTGACCATCAGGTAACAAACACGTTAGCAGCCAAGTTAGAGTTTCTCATGTAAAAAGTCCAATGTTACGTTCAGAAGTTAGTTGGGAACATTGTTCTTTCAGTCTGTAGGTGGTCAGAAACACAGTCGCTGATTGGAATCGGTTTCTTTGTGCACGTGTGCTCAGTGCTCTTCAGTTCTTGAAGATTTTTGCACATTGATGCCGAAAATGAGAAGTCGCTGTGTTTATCGCTCGTGCTTTCTCAAATGGTGCCGGAAAATAAAGTGAAATAAAATGAGGCAGTTGTTTGCTGACAGTTCTAAGTGTGAAAAAAAAAAAAAAAAAACGTCTCCTGCTGTAAGAATCTCTGCATGCACCCAAAGCGGTGGCTGTTTTTGAGTCTCACAAACACTCAGGGACGGGACACCCTCACAAATAATTCTCCCGCCTCTGACGTACTCTGTGGGAAATCCTCGTGCATCTGCTTGGATTACTTGAGTTGTTGCTGGAGTTGAATCAGAGCGACAGACTAGAAATTCTTTCAATGACTACAAGTAGAAATAAAAATCTTGATAGGTTGATTTCTAGGCACAATTTCTCATTCACTTTGTAACAATTTGGGTAAAACTAACATGTTTCTATGTCATTTAGAGTCTAGATTTAGTTTAGACTAACACAATACTGTGGTTACAAGGTTCTGAAAAAGGCACCGGCCGGGGCATGTCTGTGAATATGTACCGTGCGTTCAGGTGTGCAGAATCAGGCTGTATTCTCTCTCCCTCATTACTTGAATGTTCAGAAAACTGTGGCAGCAGTCAGAGCCAAACAAAAAGCAACTTCCACTTAGAATGTTGTGGTGCATTCATAAATCAGAAAACGCGGTTGCGTCCACTCAGAGCCACTTCAGAGGGCGGCCGCTCTGGCCTGGCACCAAACAGCGAGCTGCTTTTTGTCAGCCAGCAGATGTTCCATTGTCTGGCCCGGTGGTGTTAGGTTCCCTCAGTAGAACTTAGGGCTCTTTCTGCATCTTTTGAATTCGGTCCCTTTCAGTGCCGTCACCAGCAAACCCCCCCCCTCACGCACCCACCCTGCCCCAAAAAACTCCTTCATTCCCAAGCTACTCAGAGAGGGGCTTTACCCTCCCCCCATCCCCTTTAACCCCCGACAGACCACATAGTTGCTGCCCCTCCACCAACACAGATATTACTCTTTTGTCTCCCTCGGTCAGGCCCCCACTAATCACACCCCCCGCGACTCACACCAGCCAATTTATTGAGCAATTAATGCAGAGTCAGGCTGTGTTTGCACCAATACACGTTTCGGTGTGTATTTACACCCGCTCGTATCCACTTGGAATTAGCAGAATGTGTCTTATCAGATGGGGAATACGTCGTGCTCGGATGGCTTCTGCACGCTTAGGACCCCGTGAATACGACTGCTGTTTTATCAGGGCCCAGGAGACCACTATTACGGAGCTTATGTAATATTCACTGCCCCTCTTTTTCACCCACCCCACCACAGGCGCGTGTGTGTGAGAAACACAAGACCGAGGTACAGTGCATGTAATAAGAGCTAGGAAACACAGAAGTAGCAGAGGCTTCCTGTTATTGTGTGGAACCAATTGGAGGCAGGAAGTGAGAGGAACGGCTGCTCTTTCGCTGTGTGACTGATGAATTCTGCCACATGTAGGAAATACCGCTCGGTCAGGTGGCACCCTCTGACTAATGCGGCGGATTTAAAAGGCCGGGGTGACTCTGGGCTGCCGCGTCTCTGAATGCTAATAACAACAAATCCAATCATGTGACGAGGGTGGGTGCTGCAGACGGGCCGTGATGCCGAGTTCGCACATGACCTTTCTATCCTCCGCTCTGGTAGTAGAAGGTCCGAATCATCAAAAAAAATAATAATAATTTGAAAAAGGCCGTAATGTGTCATTAAATAAACTAAGAAAGGGCTCAATCAGTGTTTGATAGCAGCCTATGCGTGTATGTATGAGTAAAAAAAAATAGAAAAAAGGGTTCAAGCCAAAACCAAGCAGATTCCTAGTAAGAACAAAGAACCTGGTGATGGTAAACATGCCTGAGTGCATGCTTTAAGAACTGATTAAGGTTATAATAGTCATCTGGCTTGCCTCAAGCGTTTGGGCTTGGGGGTGGGGCCTGATAGAGGGTAGGGGGTAGTCCAGGCTGTTACCCTCTTTGTTCTGGCCTGCTTCACTCATGCCTTCTTTTGTCTCCACCCACCGTCTACCGCAGCCAGCTTTATCTCCCCGGCAGTCTCGCGCCAAAACAGAGGGAGGATGGCGTGTTGCTATTTCCTCCTTTTTCTCTCTTTTCTTGGTGTCACCTGAAGGTGTTTTATAACTGACGTGTTTCCAGGGCAACCGCAGGTACGGCGTAGGTGCGCCAAAGCTCCTTTGAGCTGAGCTCAGCCCGCTCGGCCCTGTTCTGCCTCCCTCTTTCTTCTCCCTCCAGCGTTTCCCGCCACTCCAGGGCGCTCGAGGAGGGGGGGGGGGAAACAGTGTCACAGTCAGTACCACGAAGAAAGCCTCCCTCCCCTGAGCCTCCCGCCAAATGCCGGTGTTATTCAAATCCAGTGAGTGGGTGCGGCCCAACTGTCTGCACGTCCTGTTAACCCTCACAGCCTCAAACACAAAGGCAGGCCTGTGTGCCGGCTCAGGTCTCCTTAATGTGTCAGGGATGTTTCACAGAGGAGCGTAAAGTCCCTATTTTCCTCCAGCCACTGCTGTGAGGAAAACAGAACCCTTTCCGGTTCGATTATTTACATTTTTGCCATCACAGACGTAACCTACCTGTTGGATCTGCTCTTTATCTTTACTCTTTACAGGCCCGTCCTTAATTTATCTCAAGTTTGTTTTGTTTTTTCTAAAGAGAAATGGTTTTTCAGGAAACCGCGTCGTAAAAATAACACCACAGACGCAGAAAGTTCTAGTAAACAGCCGGGACACAGTGCTAAAGTCTGTTTACAGGTACAAATTCAAGCGTGTTCAGATCTACTTCCTCTCTGCATTAGCACAGTTTCTGTTTCACATCCTCTTTGTCTACAACGCTTCAAGGCATGAATGAAAGAGAGAGAGGGGGTGGGGTGGGGGTGGGCGGGGGTTATTGGGTGCACAATGAGGGGATCTGAGGCCCATTGAGCCTCTGCTACACTCTAGTGGCTGTAGGCATCAAATGCAAACATATGCTCCACACTAACTGGAGAATGAGCGCTTCATGTCTAGTTTTACTTGCACTGTAGAAATGAAATGAATGATTACTGTTGGTTTTTACAGATCATTTTCAAAAACCATTATAAATAAAAGAAGATGGAAATAAAAGAGGATTTCAAATCCTCGTAAACAATATCTTATTTGGTATGAACAAAAATCCTTTGTTCATGTGAACTGTCAATTAATAAAAAAGATTGAAAAAACTGAAAACGTAAACGAGCAAATGTAAATGTTTGCAGAGTGAATCCTGTCACCACAGGGTCAGATGAATGACACTTTTCTAGATTGTTTTAAACTGCTGCAAGTGTGACCATTTCAAGTGTTGCATATGTTAACAACACAAACTCGAATACTGTAAATAGAATTTGAATTTGATTGTGTGAACTAAAAATGACTGATGTGATTTTTGTTTGTTTGGCTTTGACATTGTAAAAACAGTTTTGAAATAATTTCCCAAGCACAATCAGTTGTACTCGTCCATTTTCTGAAGCAGTAGTTACTATACTTCCTTAACAATTTGCACTTTACTTTCACTTTACATGAACCCAAAAGTCTTTTGTAGTCATGCAAAACAAAAAAATAGTTTTGACTATGTGACTGATCATTTCATTTTAGTAGACTACAACAGAACCTCTACTGCCACTTTAGTCCGTGTAGAATTGTGGCTCTCCAGACAAAGAGGGTCACCTAATCCTGCTTCTGTTAATCAATAAAACATTTTGGTGTCTGATGTCAATCAGGAGCCTGAAGGAGAGAGAATGGAACGTTCAGACAAATGTTGTGTGTTCAGATATAGGAAAAATACACTTTTAAAGATCCTGATGTTTGCTGGCTTTGCGTACACGCCTGCTCTGCATCTCTGCTCCGTCTGGTGCTGGTCACTTTTATGTCTGTGCTGAGTTAACGCCATTAGCTCAGCATGTGAGTCCTGCAGAGCACAACATGTACTTTCATCTTTATTCACCGCATCACCCGCCTGTTTCTCCATGCCACGGCTGGAGGATGTCATGTCCGCCCGGCCAATCAGATCCACAGAGGATGCGGGAGAGTCCCTGTCGCGCCGACTCGCTGCCTGTTGCCTGGCAACTGGGAGTGCTGCTCTGTAATTCAGCCCTGGTGACAACAACCTGCAGGCTTCACATGAGCAGGAAGCATAATCAGCACGTGCACTGCCTGAGCCGGGATGGACTGCAGCTCCCACAATGCACAGCAAGGTTATGTAACAGTCATCTATTAAAGGAAGCTTGGAGATCACAGCAGACAGTGTTTTTTGGGCAACAACACACAAAGAAGTGAAATGAAGCCTATCTGCTATAGAGGAAAAAAAATAGGTTGGATATGATCCAGGATCTTTCTCTCTGTCAGGAGAAACCGAAGCATGAGTCAGTCTCAAGAGTCACGACACAGGACACGCTGACTTGCACCAGAAACTGAAAGAGTTAAAAAGTGGGAGGATGCAAAATCGCTTCAAGTCTTTGGTGTTTGTGCAACAGAGGATCTGTCCGAGGGATTTCACCTGCAGGATGCCACACACGAGCGGACTAACTCAGATAGAGTTCAGTGCTTTTTAGGATCTGCCTGCATCCTCCTGTCCTGGAACATCGTGATCTGATTCCTTTTTACTGCAGTGCTGCTGCTGCTGCAGTCAGCTTGTTGAGTGCATCTGGGCTGAGGAGCGAAGACTGAGTTGGGAACTCCTCCAAAACGTAGGACGTAGGACACAGAAGTCAGCCTTCAGGGGTCACACTGGTTCTCAGTGTGATCCTGGGAGTGAGTGGTGCGCTGCAGCTGTAAAATGAGTCTGAAAAGCGGCCACACTCTGACCGTCAGTGGACAGGACTTGGTCAAGAATGGCAGCGGGGGCAGCCAAACGGCCTGGGAAGATGCTGGGACAGTTTTAAAGCCCTCCACTCCCAACAGGAAACCAAAATCAGTGAGTATTTAGCTCTAATCCATCCACAATCTACAACTGTGGCTATAAGAAATAATGCAGAAAAGGGGAGTCCTCATACTCATAAAACATGTGGATAGTGAAATCAATCACGTTTTAGGTTACTTGAAAGAAAAAGTTTTTCTTAGTATTCTAATGACAAAGGTAACAATGGAGCATGGACACTTCACTCTGTACGCTCAGCTGTCAAAATCCTGCCTGTAAATCCTGGAAACATACTTAGAAAGAGACGAACCTATATGGAGATATAGTTAATGAAACATTAGAATTCTAATGAACTCATTTTAAGACGGACAGATCATGTTTCCGATCAGGTGGATGCAGACCATCAGGGATCGGATACAAAGAGAATAAGACAACTGATACACCTTTAGGTCATTTTAGGAGTTATCAAAGCACAACGTTAAAGTTTTGTGAGTATGACAGAACAGAGAAAACTGGATTTAGCATTTGCTAAGTCACATATTCATCAAACCTGCTGTTAGGATTCAAACAAGATTATCAGATTTCACTCTTTTATTGAAATCAGCACATTTTAAAAATATTACTTAAAAAAGTTATGTATGACATAATCAATACAAACTGCTGAGACTTTGACCGTTAATAACAAAATGTGTACGGTAATGTAGTTAACTAAAATGAGCTTTTAAGTTAATTCTGCTCATGAATTTCTGCTCTTAGATGCAAACAGGCACCTCTGTCAGTCTCCAAAGAGTTAACAGCTGTCAGCCTCTGGAATGTGCTGCTGCACTATCAGGCTTTAACAGAGGAAAGTATTTCCTATCACTCTCTCTCTTCACTTCTATCACACCGGCTCGCTCCCTTTGCCCTCCGCTGGGTGCCGGGCAGGGCCAAATGTGTCCGTGTTCCTCTGTGTCCCACTTCCAGTTTGCTCTGAGTCTTAGACGAGCTCCTCTCTTTTGCCATGAAACGTTTCCAACCTGTTGCCCTGCAGCCCAAGCCGGAGAACGCCATCACCATCGCCGTGTCCTCCCGCGTTCTCTTCACCATGGAGAAGGAGCAGCAGATTTTCGAGCAGCAGGGCATGGAGGAGTACATCAGGTATCAGGTGGCCCACGAAACGGAGCCGTTCAGCCCCGGACCGGCCTTCTCTTTTGTCAAGGTTCGAGCTCAGAAAGAGGAGCAACACAAACACTAACACCTGTCAGAACCGACGCAAACTGAGCTCACTTCTGCTCATTTCCATCCTCTGTGCACCTGGTCGTGTTCCCAGGCTCTGGAAGCTGTCAACACACAACTGAGGGAGCTCTATCCCGAGAGCGAGGAGCTCTTTGATGTCGTTCTCATCACCAACAACCATGCCTACGTTGGCCTCAGACTCATCAATACCATCAACCATCACCGTGAGTCAGCTATAGTGTTGATTTCCCTTTTTGCGTTAAACCGGCCCCGTGAAGAGCTCAGATCTAATAATAGCTCACATTTCCAAATCTGCACTGGCATGTTAGAACAATGCGAGCACTCTAAAGCTTCGATGTATAAAAAAATGTCGTCTATCGTCTTTAGCACGGACAACACTGAATTATTGATGTAATAATTCAGTGTTGTGGTTCAAGTTTGACATAAGAAATTATCTGTGGCCGACAGGGGCGGAGTGACCTTAGAGTATCAGGGGAAAACATAATGGAAGCACACACTGTAACGTCCTGTAATGATGCAAAAATAGATCAAAACTTAAAAGAGATCATTCCCATGTCAAAGTGAAATTTTTAAAGTCTCCGCCCAGATGTTTTATTCTGCTTGAGTTGAATTTAAAACCGTTTTAATGTCCGGATGACTGCAGCTGGTCCTCACTATTCCCACACCGAGAGCGACTTTATGACCCAAGTTCTCCCACAGACATTGAAGTGTGCACATAAAGGCCGACGTCCATCCCTCTGTGTGAGCTGGGACTGACAGAGGGATCTTTCTCATGGCCCACACGCTCCACAATTCGACCCAAACACACTGAGAGCAGGGAAATGCACACAGTCGCACAAAAATGTGCGGCCCATCACAACTTGTTACACGGACACACTCTAATTGTTATCAACACATTTACTTTGGTAATAAACAGTAATAGGCAGGTTAATGCTGTAAATATTTCGCACCCTTTCTCGAAATGGAATTTGCTTGCTCGCAAATGAAGACAAACAAGCAGCCAGTGATGTTAAAGATCTTTTTTAATCTGTGATCTTTTTGTGGGCTCATCCTTTTATCACTTCCCCCTATAGAACTGTTCATCGAGCGCTTCTGCATGACTGGAGGAAACAGTCCCATAGGATACCTGAAGGCGTACCACACCAACCTGTACCTGTCTGCTGACCCGGTCAAGGTCCGCGAGGCTCTGGAGGAAGGTAAATCCTGCAAAGAGAGACCAGCCACCCGTCTCTTCCGTGAGCAGAGCCAAAGCCAGCGTTTGTGACGGCGCTTTGCTGTGTGTGAACCAGGCATAGCCGCGGCCACCATGTTCACCCCGGACAGGATGACCGAGGTGTCAGAGACCCAGCTGCGCGTGGCCTTCGACGGCGACGCCGTCCTCTTCTCGGACGAGTCCGAGCAGATTTACAAGGCGCACGGCCTGGACAAGTTCTTTGAGCACGAGAAAGCGCATGAGAACAAGCCTCTGGACCATGTACGGCACACACAGCCACATTATCCCTGCTTCAGGGCCCTCTCTTTGAGGATCAATTAGAAATAATCTATTTTTGATTTCACTTATGATAACACAAAACAGAGGCCAGACAAATTTAACCAAACTTTATTAGAATTGTGATCGTGACATTTTATGTGATATTTTTTTTCTGTATGTGAATGAAAAAAAACTACAAGTTGAGATTCTGTTTTTTTGTATCTCACACACAGGGACCACTGAAGGGCTTCCTGGAGGTTTTAGGAAAGCTGCAGAAGAAGTTTTATGCCAAAGGCCAGCGCATGGCCTGCCCCGTCAGGACCTACCTGGTGACAGCTCGCAGTGCCGCCAGCTCGGGAGCCCGCGCCCTGAAAACCCTGCGCTCCTGGGGTCTGGAGATAGACGAGGCTCTTTTTCTGGCGGGGGCGCCCAAGGGCCCGATGCTGGAGAAGATCCGGCCGCACATTTTCTTTGACGACCAGATGTTTCACGTGGAAGGCGCCGCAGAAATGGGGACGGTGGCGTGCCACGTGCCCTATGGGGTTTCCCAGAGAGTTGCAAGGAAGGGAGCAAAAGATAAGGAATCCTTTTCAGCCGTCAAGTAGCCGAGACATCTGTGTGCAGAGAAACAGGAGGCTGACAGGACAGTAATACCGGTGTATCACGTGATATCATAACTGTGTGAGAACAAAAGGGTTGAAAATGCTCAGAAACCCACCTCAAGCCATGATAGATATTTCAACATTGCATTAACCAAAAATGTTTATTTTCCCAGGACCTGTTTTTTTAAAATACCTGTTCTACCTTCTCTAAATCAAAGACATTTTTGGACACATTTAATTGAATCAGTACAAAAGGAGCACTGCAAGCCATCCTATAGAACCACGTGTCTTTTTCTTATGATCTACTAATGTTTGATCATGAGCGTTGTGGTGATTTCTGTGTGGACGCCATTTGGCAGACATCTCCAGTCCTTTGGAAACAGGAGCCCCATTAAAAACACAGGACTTTGTATCAGAGGTGTAAAAGTCCACCGATGATAAGTATCTATTTAGGCACAATGAGGATAAATGTAAAACTACTATTTTTCTAAATGCCAATTTTATTCAGATTTATGGGCTCGTGCAATTCTACTGAATGAGTGAAACTGGTGCCTTCCCCCCCACAGTTCTTCTCTTCTCGTTGGTTCTTTATCGCTTGTTGCATGTTGTTGTCAGGGTGCATTGTGCAAGTCACTGGTTGATAAAAGTATGTGAATGTAACTTGAAATATCAAATAAGATGTAATGAAAATGTACCTTACGTTTCCTAAAGTTCGAGCATATTCTGCGAATTCTGGTATTCATGATGCAATTTTAAATATATCTGCTGCTCGGCCGTAAATGGTTGAGTGCCCTCTTTCCCACCTGTGATTTCCTCTCTGTCTAATTTTGTCATGTAGTGTCGTCAGTGTTTCTGCACTTACTCTTCTTTCTTTATGACTGGTTTTGCTGTCCGATGTGAAATCTGTCTGAACACATTATTCTGAATAAAAAACTGAAAATATTTAGATTGTGTTGTTCTTTTTGTGGAGCTGCATTCAACAAAAATGTCACTTTTTTAAATAAAAAAACGAGAAAAGTACAATGTCATCTCTTGTCTTTCTTGGATAAAATAAAGGAAAATAAAATGGATGGAGATGAATTCAGAGCAAAATTCTTCTTCTTGACAGCAGAGGGCGACTGACACGAAAAGTTCCTTCATGCAAAAACAACAACTCAGCTATGAGTCAGAGCCAGACTATCAGCTCTGTGTGGCACAGCCCCCCACTAGTTATCATCTTTTTTATCAGCATGTGTATATGACATGTAAGACAAACTTCAGATGAATCCCGACAAAAGCTGTAATAAAAAAAAAATATTTTCCTAATCATTGAATGTACAGTTTTCCGCCTGATATTCTTAATTGTAATTTGTGCTATTGTTCATGTTCTTGCAGGAAAAATGCAAGTTTCAATTTGGATGACGAGGTATCTCTTCACCTGCTCATAAACAGGCGAGGCAACAGCTGACAGTTAAAGCGCTTGTTATGGTATGCAGCATATTTTCCTGTCATTAAACTGAACGAGACCAACAAGAACAACTAAACCAACGAGAACAACTAAACCAACGAGAACAACTAAACCAACGGTCACGCACAGACTCATCCGGTAAACTTAGCATCACCAGTTAACCTAACATACACGACTTTTGATGGTGGAGGAAGACCACCACGCTACATGCCAGGAAAACTTACAAACTCCACATGGAAAGGCTGACTGTTGGCCAGAGCAAGACTTCCAGCTCCATGTGGCACAGGCCCCTCCACTAGTTGTCTTCTTTTTTATCAGTATGTGTACTGTATATGACGTGTAAGACAATGTTTTTTTTTAATCAAACTTCAGATGGATCCAGACAAAAGCTGTCATAAAAAAAGAGAAAAACATTTTTAATGCTGATTTCTATCACCTTTTCTCCCTGATATTTTTCATTTTAATTTGTGCCATTGTTCATGTTCTTGTTCTTGTTATTGCAGGAAATAGGCTAGTTTCGTTTCACTGAAAGAGAAATTTGGATGACGAGGGATCTCTTCACCTGCTCATAAACAGGCGTGGTAACAGCGGACTCACAGTTAAAGAGCCGGTTAGGGTGTGCACCATATTTCCCTGTCAGTAATTTGCTCTAAGACTTGATATTAAGGTCACACTGTAAGATTGTTTCCCTTTTCCCCCTCGTTTCCCTTTTTCTAAATAATGGCAAACAATGTAATTTCTTTCACCAAGTGAAAACCTTGTTTTTAATGAAGTGGACTTTGAGTTGTGTTCACCCGAGACTAAAAGTACAGTCGAATACTCATGCATGGGGTTGTCCAGCCGTCCGGCCGTCACCCAGAGCAGAGTTAGCAGCCACAGCGGGGGCGAGCCAACCCACAGGCTGCCCTGCTTCTCCCAACCCCGACCCCCCAAGTTCAACAGGTATCTGGTGTCCCTTATAGAGAATGGAAGGAGCAACTGGTGGTTGCAATCACTGCTTGAATGAGCCAATGATCCTATGACATAAACCACCAGCCATGCTCTGCATCACATGACAGCAGCGTTTTACCAGCTTAGCCTACGAGAGCACTCTGCTGCTTTGTCTAGTTTATTTTTGTCCTTTCTGTTGAATGTAAATTGCTTAATTTGCATTGCTTGATTTGCATTGACTGCATTAATGACCAGCTGACCTTTAAAGATCATGTTACCTCCGTTTTTCGATCTTGTGGCTTCACACTCCTAAACATAAGAAAGATCCAGCCATACCTAACCCAACATGCTGCCCAGCTCCGGGTGCAGTCTGTGGTCCTGACTGGTCTCCCAGCCTGGACAGTAAAACCGCTACAAATGATCCAGAATGCGGCGGCGTGTCTGGTCTTTATTCAGCCCAAAAAGTCTCACGCCACCTCTCTGTTCATTGAGCTTCCCTGGTTACCTCTGGCTGCCCGCATCAAATTCAGGTCCCTGATGCTGGCCTACAAAGTGCTTAAAGGGACGGCTCCCATCTACTTGAATCCTCTTGCAAAGGCTCATGTCCCAGCTGGTCCCTCCGGTCATCAGTGGGTTGTGGTCCACGTTAAGACAATCAGACTGTTTTCATGTGTCCTACCAGGTCTACAAGAACAGCATCCCTGTCTCTCTTCAGGAAGCTCTTAAAGACCCACCTCTTCAAAGAGAATCTCCTATCCTAACTGTTACCCATAGCTCTACTCCTCTTTCTGTGCTTCCCGCCATCTCCTCCTGTCAACACTGACTCTGACTGGAGATTTTCCTCTAGAGATCATATTGTAAGATCATTGAAAACGGCAAAATTGTGTCTACTTTATAAGTAGCTTTGGATAAAAGTGCTAAATGCATAAACATAAACATAACATAAGTGAGGTTTTTATCTTTTTTTTCAAGGAAATTTCTAACTATTAAAATTACGTTTTGGATTTTCAAATTGTGTCTCTTCCCTATTTGCCACGGGTGCCTCCGCTTTCTCTTTGTGTGGGTTGAGAAGACTTAAAATAATTCATCTGGGAAAAACTCCCAGTGTGGCAACACAGGAATATAAAACTGCCCTAACCCATCCAACATGCTTCGTGCCACTAGACACTGACAGCGTTGTTGAGACTGAACAGCACAAACCCAGCATCACCCCACATCCTGCTCACACATCACCTGACTGGAATGTCACCAACCTGCAGGACTACAATTTAGTAACCTGGATTAACTTCCTGTTACACTGGGTTCAACCTGCTCCACAGCAACACAGTAAGATAACCAAATCATAATAATGCAGAGTGGAGGGTGGAGTTAACAGATAACTAGAAACATGAAAATGATTATCCAATAAAGTGTCAAAACAATTTATTTATGTGCCAGATTTATTGGCCTGGTAATCTCTAGACAATATATGGTTGTATTTTAAGGATCATATAAACTGCAGGGATCTTTAAAATAGCAGAAGTTTACTTTCTGATTTGACTGGTCAAAAGAGATGTGGGAGGAGTAGACCTCTAACTTTTGTAACGTCATAAAAATGCAAAGGTGCCAGGGCTTAAATGAGCATCGCACATCAAAAGAACAGCAGGATTGTTTAAACTCTGTACGCTGGTGTCTGAAAATTCACTTGAGGACACGCACGCAAAGAGTGAGCTGACCTGAAGATATGGCGAGCTCCAGAATGGTCCCACCAAAAGACAATGGAGAACATTCAACAACAAAGGTAAAGAAGCATAAGGTAAATTTTACTATTATAATTTATTGTTATTATTGACACCTATTGATGTATAGAACGTTATGCATGAGACACAATACGGAAAGTTAGATTATATTATTGTTGTCCCATTGAATGGATTAGAGACAAAAAGACATAATCAAATCTGAAACAGGAGTCTATAAAAAACACAGAAAAACAATTCTTACAGATTCGTATACATAATAAAAAAACACATTTAAATTTGGTTATTTTTTTCTTTTTCTGATGGTGCAGTCTGATCCAGAGATTCCCATCACTGTAGCAATATCTTCAGATATCTTCAGAGGTCCTGTCATCAACTTTGCCAAGGTGAGAAAACAAAATGAAAAAGAATCTGAGAAACACACAGAATCTCGACAATCATATTTGCAATAGTGCTCAACTTCTGATATGTTACATATATGTTATATATATGTTGTTGATTTTAATTATATCTTTAATTCCATGTTGGTTGCTGTCATTTCAGGCTCTGAAGGAGGTGAATGAAGCTCTGACAGAGAAATATCCTAAGAGCCGAGAGCTCTTTGAGGTCCTTCTGATCAGTGATAACTCACCCAAGTCACTGAGGAGCACCATCAGTGAAAATGGTGAGACAAAGGAAAGAAAACGTGTCTTTTTGGATTTATGGTTATATACTTAACAAAGAAAGCCTATTCTACTACATTAGAAGTTGGTTTTTGTCAAAATGTTGTAATATGTCATGTTGTAAATTATCTTTCCATCCTGTAGATCTGGATGATCTGATTACTGTGAGTGAGGAGGACCTGACTGCTCTACTACAGCGAAAGAAAATCCATCTGTTCCTGTCAGCTGAACGGCCAAAGGCTGAAGAAGCCTTGAAAATGGGTGAGGATTACCAAATTAATCAAACATGCAGACCAGACTCTTGGGGCTTAACACATCCATCACTCAGCCCTTTCAGAGTGAGGTCTGTTTGGTTGTCCATATTTTAAATGCTATGAACCAATGTCCTACTGTCAGGTACAGCTGCTGCTGTAATCTGTCCAAAGAAGATGGAGGCATTGCCAGAGACTCAGGCTGAGACCCCGCTGCGCATCGCCTTTGATGGTGACGCCGTGCTCTTTTCTAACGAGTCAGAGCTCGTTTTCAAGGGTGGATTAAATGCATTCTTAAGGCACGAGGAAGAAAAAGCTGAAGAGCCAATGAACAAGGTACACATAGTTTTCTCTTAGTTTCATTTGCTTTGAAACAGCTGCAACCTAAACCAAAGTCCCCTCTTTGTGTTCTGTCTTCAGGGACCATTTAAAGAATTCCTGGAGGTTCTACAGAAGCTCCAGAGAAAATTGGACACAAAAGCCATTCGCACCTACCTGGTGACATCTCGTGGTGCGGGCTGTGCTGGGTACAGAGCCCTGAAGACTCTGCGCAGCTGGGGCCTGGAGACAGACGAGGCTGTGTTTTTAAGCGGGACAAAGAAAGGTCCCACCCTGAAGAGAATCAGACCCCACATTTTCTTCGATGACCAGGAGAGTCACATCAGAGCTGCTTTCGAGGCTGGCACATTGGCTGGCCATGTACCCTATTAGACCTGACAAAAGTAAAGGGGTCAGTAACCATTCTTAAACCAATGACTACATTTACCCCCAAAGGGTAGTGCCCCCATATATCGAGAAATGTCAAATGGATACATACACACATACATATGTGTTTTAATTTGAATCAGCACTGTTGAAAATATTAAATAATAAAAATTATCATAAAGAGCTTGATGTGGACCGTTATTTTTTATGTAGTGTTGTTTTTCATTCTGTTGTACTCCTCTGGTATAACTTCTGTTTTGGAAATAGAGGTAATCCCAGAGGGAGAAAAGGATGATGCAAATACATGTAACATAGCTTAGATGATCAGGTGTCCCTTAAAGGAGAAGACTGGAAGAAAAGAGAAAAGCTAAAGAGCCTGTTTGTTTTTTCAAACCTGCACTCAGAAGATTGTTTCATCCAGATGAATAGAAATAATAATACAGAATAATAAAACAGAAATGACAGATTTGTCCCACATGGGCCACAGCAGGCACCTCTGCTGTCGCTTTGTCATCAGGCGAGCCCTGACAGCGGCTGAGCTTTTTCTTCACTTGTTTGCTTTTTCTTCACTTGTTTAGTGTCTCCAGTGAACAGGAGGGGACGACCGAGAACACACCAAGCTACAAAGTTAAAGTGGAGGAGCAGTGGAGCAAAGAGAATGAAAACAGGCCTTATCTTTTTAGCCTCACTCTCAGTTTTTCCTTAATATCAAAAACAAAATGAACCAATGATGAGTTTTTAAAAGCATTTATTTATTCATGTTCATTTGACAACAAGGCTTGATCCATCATTTAGAGAAGTTTCCTTCAATGACATATTTTACGTCATTGATCTGAATAGCTTTTCTGAATGGCATTTGCTTTAAGCTGGCAGAAGAGAACATGAATCATCCCCCATTCCTTCCATGATCTTGGTGTCAGATGAGAGCGGTCAGGACTGCTGCCGTTCCCGCCCCAGCACTGGCCACAGCTGCAGTGGCGGCCCCAGAGAGGCCGGCCATGCCTAAACACCCCCCCCCCCAAAGAGACAGATTCAGCGTGGAGCTTATTTCAGATAAGGTTACTGTTGTATTGCTGCATTGCTTTTCACCTGCTGACTGCAGAACGGCCACCAGACTCCCTGCTGCCACCCCTCCTCCATTTGCTACGGCTGCCGTGGACATCAAGCCAGCAGCGTAGGAGCCCGCAGCTATACCAGCAGAGGTGAAGCCCACCGCCCCCAGAACAAAAGGAGCAGAGACCACTGCCCCCCCTGAAGTGAGCACAGATGAAAATTAGTAACTGGATCAACAGATTTTGAAACTCCACAATAGATAGAGGAAAATAACAGATTAGTCTGACCTGCCCCTGCAGCAACAGCAACTAAAGTCACTGAAAAGAAGAGAAAAAAGGAGAAATTAATCAACATCATTGAAAAATTCAGTTTCGCTCATGCGTAATATCAAACAGGAAGATTAGATTAAAGTAATTTTGTCAAAAGAACAGCTGTACTTACAGAGTCCCATATCTCCAATCTGGATACTGGTCGTCAGACTCCTACCACGCCTTATATACCCTGACTGGGTTTCATTTCCTGGGAAAACGAAACTTACACAGGGCTCACTGCTCCCCTCCACTGCACTCTGCTGTCAGATGCTGGTCGTTACACTCCTCCTGCCACAATGACGTCATGGTTTTTAATCTGCCAGGGACCACACACACTGTAACTGAAGATAGGAGTACAGTGAAAAAGCTGCTCTCTGGTGCATTCTCAGTTCAAACTGAGGAATTATTAATAATTCTGTTAACAGATGCACTTCAATGCCATCTGCTTTATTTGAGGTTTAACAACTTGTTCCCTCCTCATTCTCAATAGACGCATCTTTATATATCCAAATATGCTGAAACCACAGACAGTGGTGAGATAACTAAACTTATAATTCTATTTGCGGTGTTGGGGAGATACACTAGTACTTGCCTATCGAGAAATAGACCTTAAAATGCTCAATGCATATTTGTCCTATATTTACTGTCTAAGTCGCTTTGGATAAAATAAACATATTTATTAGATCACTTAACATCAGTTATGATCTAAGATGTCCTTTTAATGGCAGAGCTTCACTTTTTACAAAACTGGAAACTCTTATTGTGGCCTGCCATTTTGATCTCTCAGCTGCCCTTGAATGCGTCTTAGTGACAATCCAAAAGGTTCAATAGTCAATATTTTATTTGATTTTTTTTGTTTTCCCTATATTTTTGCTTGAATCAGACTAAATCTTTCACTGACTCTCTACATGCTAGAGTCAGATCAATGGTTGTTGTTGCTTTAGAAGGGTCTGGTCACGTGGTAGGCTGTGCGCATGCGCGGCCGGCCGAGCGCTGAGCGGACAGAGGATGCACACACTGCCATGATCCCCGCGTAATGCCGCAGAGCCCCTGAACCGGTCGTTCTCCGCAGACAGCGTCGGCCCTCCGCCTCCCTCCCGCCGCAGCCCGAGCCCCGAGGCCCGATGTCCGTGGCCAACGCCAAACACTCGCTCCTGAACCCGGTAAGAGGCTCCTCCCGGCGGCCGTCGACACCGGCCGTCCCCCGCTGGAAGCCCACGGCCGCGGCTCCTAACGCAGCCAAAACAAGAGCCCACACGGGGTACACACACACACACGCTGATCCAGAGCCAGCTGGGTGGGGGGTGTGTGTGGGGGTGTGTGGGGGTGGGTGGGGAGGGGGGGAGGTAGACTGCATTCACATCCAGTGCGTTTAACATCGCTGCTCCTCTCCTCCAGGTGATCCCCTACACCGGACCCATACCTGGGGGCCTGCACCCGGGGGAGATCATCATCATCCAGGGCACCGTGCCCCCAGAAGCTGACAGGTAACATTTAAAAACAAACAAACAAACAAACAAGCACAAGAGGGGAGGCTTTTGCTTCACCCTCCAAGCACTCTGACACACACACACACGTTTCCATTGAATTATCCTTATTTTTCCTCTCTCCTTTTAAGATAATTAAGCATAAATATATAGATCATTTGAAAGGAGTAACTCTCAGGCCCCGGCTCCACACATCTATTCATGGAGACAGCTGTATTAAAGTCATATTTCAATTTTTACGACAACTCAGAAACATAGGGTTAGTCATGGTGTTTGTTAGGTCCCCCGCCCCTCTCTCACACACACACACACACAGATCACATGTGTAAAAATCCCCTCACACTTCCCAGAAAGCCGCGGGAAAACCACCGACCTCGTTTTGCTCGTTAGACCAGACTCTCCTCGTCCACACAGTCGTTTTGTCCTATTTTAAATGTGAATTCCTCTGCATGATATCGACGTAAACAAATCCTATTGGAAAAGAATAGCTTTGCTTAGAAAGCCAAGGAGTTCCCTTAAACCTGTCCTCCTGTTGTCATTCCTGCCTCTCTCTGATTATTGCGAGACTGTTTTTCCCCATTTTATGTTGGAATTTCACTTGGCTGCTTTTCTGTCTGCAGCCGGTCTAGGTCTGAGCATCATAGGGGTTTTTTACATAATCTCATTTGTGAATCATTGTCATTCCTTGCGTGTTTTTGGTTTTATTTTTGTCTTTGGTCCATTTTTGGGGCCCACGATAACGACACCCCAACAGGGTGGGACTGGAATAGAGGGGCCCCACAGACTTAGTCCCACTAAGATGGTAAACCCTGAGGCTATACCGACAGTGTCTGTACATTAGGGGAGCACACGATAAGAGAGGATGATGATGATGATGGTCTTACATGACCCAGTGTGGCCTCTCTCTGAAGGTTTCAGGTGGACCTGTCCAGCGGCTGCAGCACCAAACCGCGCTCCGACGTGGCCCTCCACTTCAGCCCCCGCTTCCGGGGCCCCCCCTGCGTGGTGTGCAGCTCCCTGCAGCAGGAGAGCTGGGGCCCGGAGGAGACGCTCCACCAGCTGCCCTACAAGCGGGGAGCCCCCTTCGAGACCATCATCCTGGTGCTCCAGGACGCCTTCAAGGTAAGCGAGGGCACCGCGGGGCGCCGGGAAGTGTCCCCGACCCGGTTTAACCCACCACATCCTGAAGCTTGCCCTGGCCCGCAGGTGGCTGTGAACGGTGCGCACCTGCTGGAGTATAAGCACAGAGTCCCTCTGAACAGGGTCGACACCTTTTCTATTTCCGGGAACGTCAGGGTCCACGCGATTGGCTACATCCCAAACTCAGTAAGGACCTCGATTTCTCCAGTTTTTTTAAAAACATGTTAATCTCCAGAATCATTATTTATCGTGCCTGTTGTCTCTGTTAGGCAATATATTCAGAATCAGGTGACTTGGTGAGTTTTTTTTCCTTTTTCTAAATCATCATAGAACTCCTCACATGTTGTAACTGTTTGTTAGCATGTGCTGGTTGCTCCGCAGTCGGCGGGCTTCTAAAGTTCAGTTTTAACTTTGCTCACTGTTAATTGGTCCTTGCAGAGCCTCCCTTACAAAGGCAGCATCCTTAAAGGACTGAGTCATGGGCAGCACATCACAATTAAAGGACAGGTCAGCTTGTATCCTCACAGGTAAATGAAAACTTTTTATTTTAAATTATACAGTCTCGTCTAAAAGATAGAAGTTAATAAATAAAATGAGCGAACATGTGATGAAACCCATGCCTGCATGGTAACGTAATGTCCCTTGAATCCAGTTTTACAGTGAACCTCTGCAACAGCAAGACAGAGAACATCGCTCTGCATCTGAACCCCCGCATGAAGTCTGGCGTGTTCATCAGGAACTCCTACCTGAGTGAATCCTGGGGCCAGGAGGAGCGGGAGCTGCCCTTCTTTCCCTTTTCCCCGGGGGAATACTTCGAGGTAGCAACCACCTGCAACTGACAACCTGTCATATATTCCCCGGTGCGACCTGGACTAGTTCTCAGGTCTTTTTTTAAACATTTTTTTACTCCTCCCCCCAGATCCTCCTCCTGTGTCAGCCCCATCAGTTTAAGCTGGCCGTCAACGGCTCCCACCTGTTTGAGTTCAGGCACCGGGTCCAGGACCTGAGCAGCATCGACCAGCTGGAGATCATGGGTGACCTGGAGCTCAGCGACGTGAAGCTGTGGTGACCGCCGGCTCGCTGGGGGGGGGGCGACAGCAGCGCGTGTGATCGTCTCTGCTAAATTAGCGTAGCTGCAAACGGCCCGGGCGCTGGGAGCTGAACGCTGGAGAATGTGTGCTCTCCGCGGGTCTGAGCTTCAGGTCCGGGCAGCAGTGCACTATTCCAGCTGTTCCAACGTCACCCCTGACCAAAGACCCCCCGACGGGTCAAACAACGAATGACATGATTAATCTTTCCAGCCCCGACGCATGGCAGAAAGCAACAGGGTGCCAGCCCCCATGAGAGTTTACAGCTCCGTTAGGGTCATTTTCAGTACTGCGTACAGTCGGTGCATTTCTGCTGCCGTCCAGCCTGCCCAGAGTGGACATGTACGGCCATCCCAAGCACCAGTGCACTGGCTTTGATCAGAGGTAACTTAGACCAAAGTCAGTACAGATCACACAAAGTATGAAATGGACGTGGTCTGTTGTTTTTGGAGCAACACAGAAGCGTTCGTCATTTCATTTCCACAGTGTCGGAGGTTTTCATTTGGAACTTTTCTACATGGCCACAGGATTTCTATTTCTGTCTGTCTTTACATTTGTTCCCGTGTCATGCACTTTGATTAACTGATCATGTAACAGGGCAGCAGGACTCAAGCACATTTTAGTCCAGGGTATGTATTTCAGTCACATTTTACAATCTTTATGAAAGGAAATCTTTAGAGTATAGTCTCATCCCTGTAACCCCCTTCTAACTTACTGCTCTCTCATAGTATCAGAAATCAAGTCTAGATTCTCTTTATTGCATTTTCTGTTGTAAAATGTATGGTAATAATCCTTTATGTAACATTATTTAATGATGATTAAATGTGTTACTGATAATTTCACATCTATTGTTTAATATGTTAATCATTTCCAAACATCTTTAAAGAATTTGCCACTAAAATGCAGAAAAAAATCTTTAATCTTTTAGCCAAAGACACCATCAAGGTCCAGTGAAACATTGTTAGACTATTTAAAACCTTCACATTGCTAATACTGTTCATATTACATGTATTTAAGTGGAAGGAAAAGACCGTCTTATGTGTCATTATGTTTGACGTAGTGCTTCTACTTAACCACCAGAGGGCAGAATAGGACTAAAAGGAGCTTTCAGAAGCCTCCTGGCACCTACACATGGTGGCACTTTAAAAAGAAATGACTGTGTGCTTTTAGAGGGTCTCACTTCAAAGAGCGGGGTCATGTCAGGACGAATTAGATACTACGCTGCAAAAAGAAAAGTCCTAACCTTGTTTGAGCATCCATAAATGTTTAAATATATCAGACAGGCTTGTTTTCATTGGACCCCATTTCAGTTTAATGACCACAGGCAGTGGTCATGAGAAAGTTGAATGAAAAATGTTAATGCCACATGACTCGCATTCACACGTTGTCTTCAATATCAATGCGCTTGAATCTGATAAAAAGTTGCTGTTTTATTAATGTCCACAGGAAATATAATTTTTAAGAGTTGTAATAACCATGTTACAGTACAACAGTATCTTTTTAACATAGAAAAAGCAGGGTGATATGCAACATGAAACAACCATCGCACTGCTGAGAGTCCAAGAAAGAATAAACAAAAGGCAGAAGACATGGTCCAATCAACAGGCAAAGAGGCTTGTGTCTTTAATAAAAGTCAGACCTCTGCCTTCAGACCAAAACAGTTCTTTTTTTCTTTTTTTGCTCAAAATGGCTGACAGAGAATTGTGCCACATTGAAAAGGCACACTCTGCTCTCTCAATTTCCAAAAGAAAATCCACTATTCTTCCTTTTGAAACATATTTTTAAAAAAAGTGTCTTGAGTTGTCATACATACACCTGGAAGAGTCTCTCCTTGTTCCAGCAGATGGGTTTGGCAACACGATGGCTGAGGACAACTGGTTTTCTTCAGTTCATTTCCACACAGTTTATTAGCAGCTGGAGCCTGTAGCTCAAGGGGGAGTCAGCTGAACCAAAAGGGGAACAGGTGAGTTCATGTGTCTTCATTCAGAGAGGGCACGTGTCCCCGGGTCAGACAGAGCTCAGCTTCACCAGTCCCCTGACGGAGTCCTCGTGTAGCGAGTCTTGACTGGCCGGGTTGTAGAAACTTGCCTGCACCGCGTGGCTGTGGCCCATGGGGCTTCCGCAGTGGAGCATGCCCGGAGGAGAGGGCACCTCCTCTGGGGTGAGATAGTGGTGGTGGGCCACTTGCTCCTGGAGGGGGTGGATGTGGTTGTGTGAGTGTGTGTGTGTGTGGCTGTGTCCATGAATTGGCAGCATGTCCGCCTCGTGGCAGCTGAGGCTGGGGGTGGATGTTGGAGGGGTGGGCTGCCCAAGGGGAAGAGAGGTGCACGGGCCTCCCAGGCTGAGGGAGGCGCGGCCCGGTAGAGGCGCTCCGTTTTCAGGGCAGGCTGTCATGATGACTGGCTCGCTGCTCTGCTGCTGGAGGAGGGGTGTGGCGGCGGCCTGCAAAACGAATTTGGTGCTCTGAATGCACTGGTCTTGGTCACACTGAGAGAAAGCACCAGGAAGCAGGAGAATGGGGTGGTGGGGGAGAAAATCAACAGAGAAAGTGTCGGAGGGAAAGGATGACAATTGAGCAGAGCGAGCATTGAAATCAGATGAAGGACATAAAAACATTACGAAGACAGAGCCAAAGAAACACATGAAGACAACAGGGTGGGGCAAGCGATGGGGAAAAAGGGGAGAAAGAGAGAAGCAGATGTTAGTACCCCTGTGAGAACGCAGACCCACAAACCCCCACCAAGCTGTGTATCCCCTCCATTAGAAACAAGGCTGAAGTCAATAGACACATCTGCAAACACAGAGCTACTTCGTGGCCTATTGATCCCTGTTACTCTGCTTTAGAATGGAAATCACATTTCTGAAACTGGAGCAGGGTAACTGGGTTAGGGCAGGCGGGTCACAACACCATTCATGAGCAAAAAGGAGATTAGCTCAGACCCACTTAGCCTATTATCACCACAGAGCAATCACGTTTTAAAGACCACTAACAGATGGAAAGTCAGAGGTTGTGCAAAGGTGAAAAAGATGACGAGGCCGTATCGGCGAGTAAGAGTGTTTTCATGTTCTCTTAAATCCCACAGAACTCCAAAAGTCTTACAAGAAGAGCAACACTTTGGCCTTGACATGTCAACTTTCTGTCTCAATGTCAATAACCTAAAAAGAAAGATGACATGTGGTTTAAACAGAGATGAGATAACTTTAGCAGAAGAGATGGAGTTCTTAGTAGCATCAACGCTCTTATCAGAGCTGCACGCGTCAACAGTCTCAGCGTATCACTTTATAGCAGGTTGTTAAAACGTCTTAACTGAGTGAGAGTTATTGGACTGAAACAACAGGACTCCTGATCACTGCCAGGTCAGCACAAAGTGATGGCTATTAAATAAATGGATATCACTGCATCCGTTTCTTTAGGCTTTGACCAATAGGGCTTTTTAAACAGTCGGGGCTACGCTGACAGAGGACAAGAGTCCATCATTTTAAACACAACTCCACTGTAAAATTCAGTGGACAGTGGAAGGAATCCTTTTAGTTGAATGATTCACTGAATGGTTTGAATGTCTTTATCCAATTCAGTTTTTCAAAAAATTATGTTACAGATTAAATAATTAATTTAATTAAAAAATAATAACAGGCTGTGGCTCTTCTTCTCCAAGCTCCTTATCTGCAGCCTAATACTGTTTATGGTCTCAGTCTTGAGCTGAGAAGGATCCAGCCTTGTTTGTGAATGAGTGAATGGATAAGTGGTACACTCTGTGAAGGAAAAAGGTTCAAACGTTTTTCTGATTCCCATGCGACAAAATTGGAAAAAAGAGGTCTGACTATATCAAAGAAAAAGCAAGATTGGAGCTGTGGGAGAAGGAAACCAACAGTCCTGTGGCTAAAGGCGGTAAGAGTGGTTGATATAACTGAAAACGAGGCTGTGGGTTGCCAGTCGCACATCAGTCGCTGTGCAATCATCACGGAAATGGTGCTCACGCTGTACTCTGGGTGTGAGAGGAAGAGGAAGAAACGGAAGGAAGTAAGAAGGACTAATATAGAAATATTTACAAGGCCAAATGTCAACTGTTTAGTATGAAACTGTCTTTTTCACCAAATCTGCATTGTGTTTGGACTGCACACACCATAACAGAGATGAGCAGGATTACAGCAGCAGAGCACAGTGGGAGCACGGATTTCCCGTTTATGTCATTTATGCACTCTGTTTAAATCACACTGTAATCAGAAAATGATCAAAATGTCCCATCTGGGTGTCCTCATCAGCTCTGATGTCTCCAGGGCAGCATCCAGAAATGTAAAACAGACAAAAAACTGACCATCAAAATGGACGATACTGGGCGAACTGACCCTTTAACGGAGGGAAACCTCTGCCTGACGAAGATGAGCTTTTCCCGCACTAAGTCAAAATGGAGGGTTTGGTATAAAGGTGTGACGTGACATCATTCCGTTACCGGGCACTGTTACTATGGCAACAGCTTAAAAGACTTCTGCTCAACAAGCCGTCGGTTTAAGCCGCATCCCAGACAAATCACAGCACGCCGAGCAAATGGAAACTTCTCGGTGCCCGCAGTGATCTGAAGACGGCAGGCTTAGTGCGAGACCGACATGAGTCCAAAATGTGGAGACACAAAAGGGGATTTCTTCTCGTTCTGACATGTCTCCATGTTCTGCTTGACCTCAAAGCATTCCGTTCAGATTCAGCTGAACAGGGACGAGCATGTAGATAAGATCAAAATCTAAACGGTGAAATCTCTCTCTTTAACAGAACAGTAGCACAGGCACTCTTCCCCTAATAGAAACCAAAACTCTGACTCTCAAAAATCTGGATTTTGGGACTTATGTTACAGAACAGGGCAGATAACTGGACCGCAGCCGGTACAAGAGGACAACTCTGGCTGGTAATCACGACAGCTACAGCCAGCAGATGGTGGTTATTCCTGACAGCACTAACGTAGGGGAATGTTTCTATGGCCTTCAGCCCAATACAGCTGGCTCTTTCAGGGCATTTAGACAGATGACATTCATGTTTGTCGTCTCGGTGAGAATAGGCAGGATGAGGTCGAGTTTGGGTGAGAACAAGGAGGCGACTGTTGCAGGCAGGGAGGGCGCCAGTGGCAGATGTGTAGTAGCTGTGTGAGAAGAGTTTAAATCTAGCATGTAATGTGTGAGGTAAACAGTGAACAACAGAGGACTGCCTGCCTCAGCTAAGGCTCCAGAGGGATACTGAGGTCAGTGTGGTGTTTTCACAGCACCAACTATTTTCTCCAGCTTCACAATGCACGACATTTACTGGTTAGTGTACATTCAGATCCTGAGACTGAACATAAACGCGCTTTCAATGCACTGTTTTTTTCCTTAACTTCACAGTGACGAAACAAAACTTCACTTCAACTCAAACTTCAACTGACTTGCTTTTGCTGACCTAAATTACAGGTAACACACAGCGACGTTAGCCGCAGACGTTGCCGACTTCCCCACAGCAATCTAAGACAATTTCATGTGTTTCAGTCCTGGTGAAGAATCACAGAAAATGGCAGAAAACCTTCTAGTGAATCTTGATTGAAAAAAGCTGGCCTGTACCCTCTGGTCTCAGTTTTCTCTTAAAATAACAGAAAGCTAAAGAAGCTAGTTTACCACAACAATCATAAATAACCACCCATGAAACTAAATATGCTACAGTCTATAGATTCAGTTCCTGAAACTGACACAATTTGCCTGAGCTTGTGCAGGCTGACTTCCTGTAACAACATCTGGAAATTCACTCTGCGAGACAGCCTGCCGAGAAAGATGCTTTGTCACTGCATGACCCTGCTGGAGTCACATTATGGCTCAGGGTGACATTCTGTCAAACAGCAGAGCAGCAAGGCCACTAAGCACCAGTGAACTCTTAAAAGTTGAGCTGGGTTTCATCAGAGTCAGATTTAAAACCGTTTCTCTGAGGTTTCTATGAAACAGGTTTCATCTTTAAGAGCTACAGCTAATCCGAAAGGATTAATGAGACACAACATGTACAGATGTTGGTCTGATTGGTTGGTTTTTAAAAACTACTTGGCCATGATGGAATAAACCTAACGTCAAACGTCTTCAACAGGAGCAGCAGGAGTTTCTATTTGATTGTTCTAGTAGTGACAAAATAACTGAAGATCTCGGAAACCTTCAACGGCCCTTTGTGGACATTTTGATCCCTTATGCCAACTCAGTTTTAAATCCATGAACTTGTCCTGGAGAGGTGTCAGCTCAGTCTTACCATGTGGCTTTGCTGGGACTGGGTGGAACCATACATAGTGATGCCGTTGGTGGGTGGTGTCAGCTGAGGGGCATCTGGCTGGATAAAGCCCCGTCTGTCAATTAGACTAACAGGAGGGGAAAAAATGGATAGAAAAATGTTTGTCAATAATAATAAACATTTCACGGAATAAGAATAAAGATAAATATTGATCCATCAGCCAGCTAACACACCCATCTACATTAAGTCAGTCTTCTTGCTTGCCACTGTTACAATGGCATAATTGACCTTGTGGGTCAGTGTTACTACACTGTAAATATTTGCAGTAAGTGCAGTAAGTTGTGCACAAATGCTTTTATTCTAGTCTTGACCATGAGGGAGATTTCCTCTCATACATTCAAACAAACCCATTAAAATCACAATTTGGTAATAAATCACTGCAGCCCTGCAGAGGAGCAGTGGAGTGAATCATTGTTTCTGTCCCTTCGTTAATGCTGCAGAGGCCTGACGCAGCTGGTTAGGCAACAACATGATGAACTCTGGTATGCATTCGTACATGTGAAAGCTCATGGGCCGCGTATCAGCCTGAAAGAGGTTGATCAGATACTAAGCAACCTCTACCACACACACGCAGCCAGCTGAGGTGTTAAACAGGATAAACAGGGTAATCATTAACCAGAGTATTGACAGTGAGCTCCAGGGGGACTGAGCTGGAAACAGACTGAACATGCTTTCTGAGAATCGTCGAGACAAAACTCAGTCTGTCTCTGGAAATGAGCTGAAAGCCTGCAGATGCACTTAAGAGGAAACGAGTATAAAAACATGCATTTGTTCATTTGAAAATATGAGTGAAGGCCTCTGCAGGGAATCCAAAAGCACAAAGCTGTTGTCTGTGTGTGCTTGTGAATATGAGAGGCAGCGTAGCCTGCATGGACTGTGGTGAAGGGAAACATTCCTTTATAACTGGTGGATCCAGCTGTGCAATGCTTGTGGCCAGAAACACACACACACACGTCCAGATGGCAGCCACCTGTGCACTGGGGGTTCTCTGCACCACCCACAGGAGTCATTAACGAAGATTTATGCCTTGTGATGGCCACTGCACAGTATAGCCAAATGTCCCTATCAAAAAAATGCTAAAAGACTTTATCGTAACTGTTGCTTTGCATAAATGTGGACATCTATGGATATGCATGTTAAACATCCTGGTAAGGAGCGCACTGCATGAGGCAAACTAGAAATTATGTTTCCCCTCATCTTTGTTTGCACTTACAGATAAGGGCAAAGCAAAATCCAAAGGTGGCATGTGATTTTAGGAAGGTTTGGGAGGGTTGACACCAGCTCAGGTGTTGTATTTTGGGTGGGAGCAGTGGTCAGAGCAGATCACAGGGGGACAGCTACTGATGCCACTGATGAAAACTGAGAGCTGCTGGGGAAAATGCTGCAGTAAGGGCAACTAAAAAGGGAATGTGTGATGTTTACTGACGTCTAAAAAGTCACAAGAGCGTAGCTGTGACGGCTGGCCTGTGCATGAGCAGAAAAGGGATGAAATCTAATATCCAGCCAACTTTGATCTTGGATTCAGTTAAAATTAGCTTGAAATTCTTTACACTCTTTCAGTGTCTTTGCTATGTTTAGAAAAACGCTGCAGGCAAGCTCATTTCAAAGAGCTACTAACATCAAACCAAGTCTTAACGAACAGTTCTATTTTGGTTTAGGACACATTGAAAGTTATAACGGGAGGGAGAAAAAGGGAGAGAAGCTGAACTATTCAAGTGAATTAACAATTTTCCGAAGAGGTTTTCCTCAGCTCAGTCGATGAGGGGGCTTGTGTTTCATCACGTGGGCATGTTGGAATGTGCAAACAACCTTATCAAAACACAAATGCACATCAACACAAGTGTCATACCTGGGTGGGATGGGTCCACAAAGGGCTGCACAGCAGTTTGTGAATATATTGCCGTAGCTGTATGGGTTGTAGTTGTCCTTCCCTCTTTTAGAAGACCACGAACCTTTTATCTGTATGGGAAAGCATAACAGCCAAAATCACCTTCGATGTCAACAGCTATGGGGGTTAAACCAGTGACCCTGGCCTTATCAGCACCTGTGAGCATAATTTGGTTTTCTGTGATTATACTTACGTCTTCATTGGTGGTCTGGTTCGAGCTGATCAGGTAGGTATGGAAGCCTGAGAGGCCCACGATGGACCAGACCGAGAAGAAGCACACAACCACCTCCAGCACAGTGACATCTTAGGTTAAGGAATGATTTCCTGCCTTAGTCTTCATTTTCATGTCTTTTCTTACACGTAGAACAATACATTTTGCGTTAAAAGAATATATGCTAACAAACACACATAAACAAGGGGCCAGCATGGAGTCAGCACAGACAGAGAAATGCTGTTGCAGCGGCTAACATATTAACCTACAGCCTTAGGCAAGAGCTTCTCGTGCCAATACTTCCTAGTTACTAGTTCATCTGGTCGGGGCTGCAGAACGCCGCAAATTCTCGCTGGTCCACAGGAATAAAAACAATCCCCATTATACAAGATAATTCATTTTTATAATAATAAAAAATTAAGTGGACTGACGATTCACACATGTCCAATGGGACAGGGCTTTGTTTGAAAAATGACACACTCATAAAGCAACCAATTCACAATGTATGTCTGAGAGATGCCAAGGGCATATTCACACACCACGAACCAGCCTGTGCAGCAGCACTTGAAAAATCAACTCAATATTCACACTCCACTGTTTTCACTCTCTAAATCTTCCTTTTTTTTTCTTTCCCCAGCAAGGACAAAACATGGCATCATTCTTCAACTACCAAAGATTGCTCTGACGCTATCGCTGCAGTCCTCCATTATTAAAGTCTTGTAGGACACGGGCGTTATCAGCTTGGCTTGGCACACGTTTCCATGTCAGAGAAAGTTATCTCACTTAGCTGCTGGGACGGTGGGAAACGACCTGCAAATAAGGCCGGATTCGTTTTGTACCTGAGAACTTGGAGTTCAGGCATTTTTAATTCTGAATCTGCTTAATAACGTGGCTCTGATGCATGCAGTGTCAGTTAAGTGAGAAAGACATCAAATTACTCTGAAGCACCTGTCTTTATAGACTGCTGTAAATAGCCAGAGTGGTTTGTGGTTCGTTTTGATTAAAAGATAAAACTTAAGCCAGGCTCAGCTTTCTCTACTGAACGGTGAGACGGCCTGCAGCCGTTAGAATTTCAATGACTCTGTCTATGATTTAGAGCTATTGGCTGAGGTTGAAACTTAACTGGTCTGCAACGAGAGTATAAAGCATTTGAGCTGAGCAGATTTACAAGAGTCCCAGTGATCATCTCTGGTGCTATGTTGACACAATAAGCTAACCTACAATGTTTTTCCAACAACTACAGCTTAAAGGCTTTGAATACCTACCAGCTATCACACAGAACCACCAGTGCTCTCATCACATCTAATTTTATGATATCTCCAAAGAGATAGGACACAGTTAGAGCACATTCAGTTCAGACGACTTCAATCATTGACCAGAAAACGTACGGGTAACCCCTTTAATGTGAGAAAATAAAGGGTAAAAAGAAGGGCGGTATTAAACAAGCAGAGGGTGAAGTGGTCATGAAGAGGAAAGGACAAACAAAACATCTACATGAAGCCCTTCAGCAGAGGCTTTTATCCAAAGTGATGAATAGGAGACCAACATTTAAGCTGTCTAAATGACTGAGTAACAAGTAACACACGAGGCGTGTTAGAGTGGTAGGAGTGGTTGCTTGGATTATACAAGAGAAGAAAAAGGCCTTCAGTGTCAGGTTAGAGAACAACTCTTTCACATCAGCAAAGCTTCTTCTGTGGAAGTGAAAGGAACTTATGCAATTGTTCAGTTTTACAGAGGACATGGAAAAGTTGAGAGGACGACGGTGAACAGATATGTTCAACTGTAAAAGAAAAACACAAAATCTCACACCTTTTGCAGTAAATGCCATTCAGGGCTCAGTAAAGGATATCTGGCTGGACTGTCTTTGAGAGCAGTGAGGAACCCACTCTGATGTGAGCCTGTGAGAAGAGTAAGAGTGTTTTCATTAGTCCGCTGGATTGAACATGACATGCACATAATCTCATGTGATGCTATACAATCAGCAGCTTGAACAGAAAGTGAGCACCACACACTCACTACGGCTGCCCACTGCCACACACTTCTATAACAGTTTAGATGCTTTAGGATCACAAGAACTTTAACTGAACTGGACTAGTTTTTTTCCACATATGATTCGTTTAATAGAACTCATGCTACAGTTTTTTTTAATGTACTCTCCAAACCTGAAAGGTCCTATCATGATGTGAGTGAACAGTGATTAGTTGAGCAGACAAATTCTGTGCTAGAACCCACTATACCACACCATCACTCAAATCGTACAGGACACTGAGGGATGGATCATACGGGACAGGCAGGCCTCTGCGTTACCTCAACATCCTTGTTTGTTGTGTGAAAGTAGTTAAGAGATAAAAAGCCCTAATATGACTAAAGAAACATGTGCTCTTTTTTGGAGCGCCACTCAGATGTTAAGTCTAAATAAAGCAACTTCAGAGATTAGCATAAAAACATGGTACATAAATTTGATAGGAGTTGCTTTGAAGACATAAAAAAGCAAGTGGGGGTTGGGCTGTGAAACTGTTTTTCATCATTTTTGTAGGGCAGGTCCAAATTCCAAATTTAAGATGTGGAATATTCAGTTACATTAAAGTTTTTGGAGAGAAACTATCTAATGAACATGGTGACATTTTACTGTTCATCGCATCTAAAGACAGAAAGTTTTCTCCCTTTTTTTGTCTTGTTCAATTCAACCATTAATCTGACAAAGTCAACTGGTCTACAAACAAGAGAAAAAGAACAACAGAGAGGCTTGCCCGAGTATCAGTTAAATATGAGCATGAGGACGGTGATCTGAATGATCCGCTGCTCCCAGCAGGAAAATGGTAACCAGCCAGAGCACTGCAGCCTTTCACACCACCCACTTACAACCTGCTGGCTCAAAACCCACCGAGAGCACGGCCAGAAGGAGTGTGTGCGTGTGTGTGTGTGTGTGTGTGTGCCATGCCTGTGAGCACACGGCCCTTTCCCTCAGATACTTACGCAATATGATGTGTGTGATGACAAAGGCGAAGATGAAGATGGTAAGGAAGGAGAGTGAGAGGATGAACATGTAGAAGAAACGGTAGTTTCTCCTTCCCACGCAGTTCCCCACCCAGGGACAGTGATGGTCGAAACGCTCTGGAAAGACAAACAGAAAGGTGAGCTTAGTTAGGCTGAGACCACAACCAGAAGTATTTGGTCTGAGGTCTTTTATCTTACATTTATATTAAAAAACAAACAAACAGGATTACATTCACATTAAGTAACATAGTCAAAGATTAATTGAACAAAAACATTTTAGTTATATTGATTCTTCATTAAAAAGAAAGAATGATTAAAAAGAAAACAGAACCCAGTTACTTCAGTGCAAAGAGCACAAACTGAGAATGGTGGGAAATCAGGGAAATCTCCCTACGGATCTTCTCATAACAATTAAAACATTTTTCACATAGTGAAAACCCTATTTTTAAAAATGAGCAAACACAGACTGACATGTACGTCTCAAGCTGAAAATCGTCCACTGTATAAAGACTCAAATACTCAATTAGAGTCACTGCGCCAGAATGTTTGGTAAAGTCTGAGAAATGGCAAAAAGAAAGCAACACAGAAATAGAACAGTGAACCATGCCGTCAGCCAGCTTCCGGAGGAACGAGGAACGCTTATGCCCGAAAATATTCAATCTCTTTAAAGTGTATGCGTGCCTCTGGAGTTACCAGATAACCTTCAAAGCTGGAGTTCCCAGATTATTTGATCAACCTAATTTCTATACTGTGAAAATGACTAAAAACCTTTTTAATGCAGACTGTTAGCATTGTTTTAAACACATTTTACAATAAATATGTTATTATTTTTAAACTGAAGTAGTGAAAGCTCCAGCTGAAAACATACAAATCTGAGGTGTTGGACCTTTTTTCAGGATCTGAAGTGAAAAACGGAGCGCCCCGTTGATCACACCTGTGCAATGCGTTGACAGTGCTGCTCTATGCTGAGCATGGAGGGGAAAAACGTCAGATGACGGCGTTACAGAGAAAAATACAGACTTGAGGGTGATGACTGCACCGCAGTCTGTGCAGGGAGAGACTGAGTGCCTCTTTGGGAAACACTAAACCATGACTGATAGCATAGAATCCACTGAGCTGTCCACGTGAGACACTTCAGTTGTTTTGGGGCCACACTTCTGGCAACTTTATTGTGGTCTCTCCCTCAGATTTACCTAATGGTGCACGATAATGATGTTTATCTAACATACCACTCGCAAATGCACTTTTGTGAGCCAGAATTCCTGCCGTTGAAATAAAATAGGCTTGCTTTTCCTTAGTTTTTAGAATTTTAAAGAAAGGCAACAATATTTAGCTATTTTTTCTATTTACATTTATTTTTTTATATCTATTAATGGGCTTGCTGAGCTGATTATACAGCAGCTTCTCATCTTTTCAGGGGTTCGTTTTCTGTTTGCCACTCAGTCAAACATCAAAAGTGTGCAACAATAATTTCTGACGTCATATATGAAAAAAACATAGATTGACCAAAGGGTGTTCAGTCTGTTCCAAAGCCCTTAAATGAATGAGCTGCATTTAACTGACAAAGGCTCCGTCGTGCCTGTCATGATTGCTCTGAGATGGGAGGACTTGTTGTTGTCATTTAATCAGCATCAGCACCACAGTCGTTTCTCTTCATGTGGAGTACTGGCTGTGCACAGTGGCGTCTTCCTAACTAATTAATCAGAGCCATTATTAGCTTAGTGAGGTGAAATGACCTGCTTTTGTCTCCACTAATCAATGCCTGATTGAAATGTGTCTGGGAGCCAGAGCCTCTTGCTGGAGAGAGAGAGAGGATAGCTGTTCACAACCAAATCTGATCCCTACAGGAGAAGTGACCAAAAACAGAATAGGAAGACATACATCTAATGTTAAAGTCAAACTACATAAGGATGTACTTAAAAAAAAACAAAAACAACTCGATTTAGATTCGTTCACAAATCCCTCTGATCCAGTGAATCCAAAACATTGAAATACAACCCACTTAATGAGTTTTAGAATGATCTAATAAATTCTTATTTGTGTCAATATTCCTTTGATGCATTTCTTTGCTGCATGCATAACAACATAATTCAGCTTTAGCTGATGTCCCCAAACCAAGCACATCAGAGGAATGTAAATAACAGCAAAGAGCATTAAAATTGCCCTTAATATCAATCAAAGACTCTCAAGCCCACACAAACAAACTCCACTAGTCATGATTATTTAAAGCTAGACGTAAAGCACAGACAGTCAGACCATCCCCTCCTGCTGCACAAACCCTAAAGAAAATGACAGATCATGATAGCAGGGATATGAAGTGGGCTGAGTGTGTCATAATTCAGTGTGCTCATTAATTTTTCCATCATTCACAGAGATAAAAGTCTCAGTGAAGTATCTACTGCATCCCTCCTCTCCAGAGAAACCACAGTAGGTCCATCTATTTGGACTTCTAACTTATTTTAAGGCATGCTATCCCCCCTGTTTCCAACAGCACTGCAGCGAGAGAGAAAAACATTTTATACTTTAACTTACAGTTAAGATTTCTGTGTTCAGTTCAAGTGCAAACGTCTCCCATGTTATTGTTAATTCTGACCATTTAATATGCTGAAAATCCCAAACACTCCCAAATCCCAAACAATATTTTTTTGATATGCCTGTTGAGCTATGGTTACAGCTCACTCCTAGTTCCAGGACATTTACTCTGACAGGGAACCAGGTTAGGAGAGAGGAGGACTAATGAAGCCTCTGTCAGAAACTGTTTTTGGACATAATCATTTTACCTCAGCAAAAAAAAACTACATTTTAGGATTATTGGCATTTCAATTTATTGTTCAATTATGTTTAATTATGAAAACTGAATTCTTTTGCAATTCACTTTGTTATACTTTACAAGGCTTTCCAACTTTTGGAGGGATAGAGTCATAGATTATCTCAATGTTGGGTGAGGCCACCAGCTTTGAGCCATAGTTGGAGAGCGCTCTTATGAAAGAGAAACCAGCTACAACTTACATTCATCAGCAGTTTAACACTCCCACCCACCTGCGGGATGGAGAGTCCAACTACGTTTCAGTTTCTCCTGTTTCATTTCCCCTCCATCTGTGACTTGCATTTTACCAACACAAAGTCAACATGGTGTTCGCACATAAACAGATAAATCTGAATTTTCAGAGACCTAAAAGCACCCAGGTGTGGGTAAAGGACGATAGTCAAATTTCTAACTCTTTCTTTCAAACTCAAATCAAACCGATGGAAAACAACTTGAAAACCTCCCAACTCACCCACACAGTTGTCACAGAGGCTGCAGTGAGAGGCACGTGGTGGTCTGAAGATTTTGCACGTGAAGCAATACTTCAGTTTGACGGTCTGCCCATTGATGACCACCTCTTTAGTCCTTGGAGGCGGTCTGTAGCCAGTGCTTCCGTTGGCAACATCTAAGGAAAATCAAATAAAAACAGGTAAGAAAGGAGTAAGATGTAAAAATGAATCTTTATCGCTGTAGTGCTCCAACATCATAACGATACAAAAGGCAGAATTCATCTGAATGTGCTCGCTAAAATAAAATGGGATTTGAGATAGTGTAGTTTACATCTCTTTATGCAGTGCTATATGTACTGAAGAACAAAAACAAAGGAGAAGTAAGCCTTCCCTGGAATCAAATACAATACATCCTGTATATTCTTCATCTGTGCAGCAGAAGAATCAGCCCATCTTAGTGCTTGAGAGAGAAAACATTAAAGCGTTGGGCATCGAGAAATTCAGTCAAATCCAAACAAAGGGGAGGAGAAGGGGCCTCTTCTTCAAGCCTTATTGAGCTGAAACCTGCTGTCCCAAGCATTAAAAACCCTGAGATATAAAGTCTTCGGAAGTGGGTTAAATGTAATAAGACAACTGCAACAAAGTGTCTGTACTTCCATCCTCAAGCTTGGGGCCCCCATCTATTCAGAACTAAATAAGTCAGCACAACCTAGTTCAGGCATGTGGAATTTAATATGCACCTTACACCCGTGACTAAAATGAAAAGAAAAAAACGTTGCGGGCTGCTTTGAATGGCTTTTCGGTGGAGTAAGGAGGCAGTGATGACAGGCTAAACGCTATGGACGGGAGCAATGATAGTGATTTCCGAGCCATGTAGGTATCCTATCATTGTTCTGCTAGCTTTGAGCACAGAGTAGGAGACAGCGTATGTAGGAAGATCATTTTGAGATCATGTAGGAGTCTGTAGCATCGCCAGCCCAGAAATACATGTGTGTGTTAGCAAAGGGGGGTTACATACTGTGAGGCTTGTGTGGGCGTTGGACATTTCTAAAGGAGAGCAGAGGAAATGCAGCCAGAGAGTTCTCATCTTTTGAATACATCGCTATTGTGATCAGTGTCTACAGAGCACTCTCCGACATACCGGCTCTTTCATCTACGTCAAACAAATGAGGAGATTTGAGAGAAATTTGAAGGGTTATACAGCAGGCAAAGTTAACATGGCCCCGTCAATTCTCAAATCAAATTAGCTGCTGTTGCGGGAAATAAAAAGCTGTGACAGTCAAGTTTACGTGCGTCTGAAGCGTTGGCTAAAAAACCTTCTTACAGGCGAGACCTCGCAAAATAACGCTAGCAGGTAGGAAAGATACATTTTGAAATATATAGGTCATATCATACCGACAGTGATCAGAGGCAGCTGAGGTGAAAAAAATAATCATGCCAACTCGTTTTCATTTTTACAAATCCTGGGAATTATAATATTCTTTAATTGGCAGGAACAGCAGATTTCACTGTGAATCCTTCACTTCTGCCTTGACAATCAAACGAAGAAACAACATAAAAGATTAAGAAGACAGAACCTAATCTACATTCCTACTTCCCTGCTGTGAACATGAAAGCAGCAACAAAAAATTTAAATAATGCATTTCCAAGTCAGACTGCATTTTTTTCTGTTACTCGCAGAGTTCTGATGTAGAATAAATGGGACAGAGTTTCACTTTCCTGGCAGAAAAACTTAAAAAAAATGTTTTTTTTACTTGAATGAAGATCATTTAACATCATTCCAAATTAATTAGAAACCGTTTTTGTTATAAAGTTCTGTTTAAAGCAGGATACATGTCATGATGTCAACACCTAACATCAGACATGCAGGTTGTAACCAGCTGAGACCCCCCTGTTCTTTGCAAAGTAACAAAACAACACAATAACAGCCCAGCTTTAATGCCCCCCTAGAAATCCATAAATCGACTGTATGATCGAGATGTAAGTACATTTTGAACAGACCTTCCACATTCAATACATTGGATTATAGATGGCTGCGGTGCAGTAGAGTGAAGGTGGGGGTGTCAAAGTAGCTTTTCTGCTCAGCAAAGCCATTTGTACACTTAGCCATCCTGTCAGCCAGAGCTTAGCCTTACATCAGTGTCAACAGGGAGATCCCCCAGAGAGATAGGCAAGGTCTGAGAGGCTGAAGGCAGAAACCGAAGGCAGGTGGAGCAGGGAATGATGTAAGAGCACACACGGTGTAGTTCCTAACACACAAACAAAGTTAAATAAGGGTTCAATGTCAGTCAAACTGTGCACAGTCTGCCTGTGAGATATAAGGGGAGACTAATTACTATCCTGTTGTGTTTGTGGAGGAGAGCCGAGGCCCTCAATTTCACTGATGAAAAGGTCAACTGGAAAACAACGATGATCACCAACACGAAGAATGCAATGTCTCAAAGTAACAGCTGAAACACTAATCAGTGGACACACACTGTCCTGTGCAAACACCCCAGCCCGTGGGCCTTTAGATTCCCAACACTCAGTTTCAAAAGATGGATTTACAAAGTGGATTTAGGTGCTGAAGGTGAGCTTTGACAAGTTAAGGCATTTTCTTAAAAACAGGTGATCGACTAACGCACAAAAGACCTACTAACAGCTAGGTTGAACTCGCTACCAGCCAACAAGAAGGATGCAACAAAACATCAGCTCAGCTCAGAAAAAGCTCAGCAAATTCCAAACTCCATCACATTTTGCTGCCAAACATATGTGTTCATGTTCAGCAGGATTTGGAGCATCGAGATGAAAAGCGTTTAGACTAAACTGATTTAACCCCAAACGTTATTATGTAAAATGCACACATAATAACAGCAGAAAGGGCTTAATCCATCTCTCAGCACAGCCATCATGAAGGAAATAAAGACGCAAGTCTTCCTGCATCAAACTAATTTTCAGGTGAAAAAGAGTCAACTGGGAGTTTCTTTGGATCTTTTAAACAGCTGTAAGAAAAGAGAAAAAACACCTTTTCATCTAAAATCCGATGCTAAATGTGCTCTGCTTCAATCTCTGTATTTTTTCCAGAGTTTGAAAGGCCTTTGTCAGAATATGAAGACTTCTCTAATTTAGTTTTGGAGGAGTGGCATCTGTCTGGATTGGATCACTGAGAGGCAAGAAGACGTTTAATCACCACAAATCACAACAAATTTATTCTCAAGGGACTTCAAACAAACAGTCCGACCCAAGCCACTCATAATCCAATTCATTGTAAACCAATCATGAGGGCAAATTCGAAGAAAATCCAAATTAGCCAAACTCTTATTGTGCCAGTTTTTTTAAATTAGTTGGATAAAAAACAACAACAGATGGCATCAAAACTTAATTTTAATTCAATCCCCTCAAGCATGACAGAGATGTGTTGGCAGTAATGCAAACATTAGTCTTACATGTTAATACTAAATTAAGAAAATCTGTATACATAATTATCTCGCCGGCCTGTGGATTCAATGCAAGTCTCAATTTAATTACATGGTGGTTTATACAGATATTAGCTAGATAAAGCTCCAGTATGAGACTAATTGTTAAGATAATTGATCGCATGAGTACTAAACCTGTTTAGGGAGATTTAACAAATGAGCGCACCAGCCGGTAACAAAAGATTTGTCAACAAGAGCAGTTAGCTTAATTCAGGGTAAGAGCTGCTGCAGCATTGTAGAGGGTATTTAAGGATAAACTACTCAAATAGGTTGGATACAGGCTCCCAATAAATTCCCATAGAAAGGTAGAGGAGTGGAATGAATGAATGATCAGTGATCAGCTTCAATCCAGGCTGGATTTCAGGATTTGGAGGTTTTTTTTTCCTTTTTGCACACTTCAGTGAAACAGCTCCTCTGTATCTGACCAAGACACTAGTTTTCCACTGAAATAATCTTCTTTTATTTGATGTCTAAGTTACTGCAGATCCAACACCAAAGAGAGCATAGAGTGGTTATTTTCTCCTCGGGCGATTTAGAAAATTGCTCGACTTAAAGCTGTAGTTTTATTCTGTTGGAACACTAGCAGCACCCCATGTCGACAAATTCTTCATGAGAACTAAAACACTGCAGGTTAAATTGTGAAAAAAGCCCAATTAACTTTTCTCTGCTATGAGCAGAATTTTGCTTGCACGTCTTTGTGTTACCTAACTACTTTCCAAACAGTTTTTCTCAGAATGGTTAAAGTCAGGCGTGGCCATTTAACAGGGACACATGCAGGGACAGTGATCGAGTTATTGACTGAGGAGAGTTTAACATCTCAACAATACTGTGAAAAGAACAACAGAAAAAAAGCATTGTCGGTTTAACTGTAATAAAAGCAGTATTATCACAGAGGGATAATAGCAGAACCAGTATTTATCAAAAAAGGTTGAAAAAAGATGGAACCTTTGAGGCACAGGTTTTGTGAAGCTACATTTCATACCCTCTTCAGCAAGTTTAAATGCATTTTTCAAAGTCTGGCTTTGGTCAGACTGCCACACTTTTTTTATTCTTTACTTCTTAGCATAAGCATGCTTTGTGTCATAAATCTTGTTAAATGTATACCGCCCTAACTGGCAGTCTGCCCTTTCCAGGCGGCACATAGATTTACATTAGAAGCTTTTCCCCACTAACTACACACATATTACTTAGCAATCAGCCAATAACAATGAAACTGAAGATTAATGTGACCGCACGTGACCGCTGCACAGAGCTAAGGAAAAGAGGGAAGAGGTCACTGTTGAAGTATCAGCCCAAAGAATGGCCGCACCGTCATTGAGCGGGACAGACGGCTCGGTGAGAGGGGAAACACAGATACCGCAGGCTGTCAGTCACACGGCAAACTGTGCCACTCATGTGCCCGGTCCCTCTGTGGGTATCTCCAGTTCACATCACACAGTCGCAGATAAATCCCCGCTGATTTATATCTGTAATTTAATATCTCCAGTTGGCGGTCAGGAGTAGGACAAAATCAATGGACCTCTGTCAACAGTATTATCCATGATGATTAAATTGGTGAGCTTTTTTTTAATGTTGGGTGGCTTTTTAATGGTGCCGAGCACTAAAGCCGTGCTTCAATGCCATGATGGAAAAAGAACAAGTAACCTTGTGTTTTGTCAAGTTCAAGTTCAGCTAAAACAAATCCAACACAAAAGGCTGACCTACAAGGTGTTAATTTCCAACGAGCATGTTTCAGAGTCTCATTGCTACAGGGAAATGAAGCTGTAGCTAATGTGATTAAATTGGCTCTCCTTCCAGCGAGTGGCTGGAGCTGCTCTCTTTGTCTCTCTGGTAATGGGCTGTGTACTTGAGTTTGGCACCTGAAATCAATTTCTGACAAGAGTGCTGGCGAAAGGCAGCTTAAACTTAAAAGATGTCAGCAGAAATGTCTTATTGGGAAACGGTATGCATTGAAAATGCTTCACTTTTCACACACTCTGTTGGGCCGCTAAACAATTGAATGCGTTTTCCCTTCAGTCTGTGCTGTAAGTGATGACATCTGCTTGAGAGGAGGCACTCTTCCACTATTCTTTTCTGCTCATTTTTTAGGCAGATTTATGAGTGTGATTGCTATGCGGAGCAACATCCCACATCAAATAGAGCCCAAATGGAAAGCTTAAATGTCATAGCACCTCAAGCTCAAAGCATCCCAAAGTCTACTTTGCCCCAGAGTCTGGCTCTTTGTTTCAGGATATGAAAACAGAGGCGTCCGGTCGATCACCAGGCTAGCTTTGATCATAGTAGGTGGAAAGCAAGAAACAAGCAGTTCTGACCATCTTTCTCTCTGATTACTGCTTCAGAGTCTTTGGGATTTGGCAAATGGAAGCTGAAATGATGCCAGCCTGTCTAGTCCTGACATATTGGGCAGGCAGGCAGACACGCACAGGCATCAAATGCTGCACAGTGATGAGAAATCAACTCTTGTTTTGATTTCAAGCAGAGATAAACAACATGCGGTGCTACCTTGTCTGTCTCCACACTCTGTCCTCTCATCCTCAGTATGCATGCGTATTTCTTGCTGCTGCTAAATTAGAAAGCGGTGTCAAGATGGTGAAAATCTGAACGACAGGCACGTAGCATCATGTCTCTTAAACTTAGAACACATTTGCAAACACGCCAAGTTTCATTATGTCTGAGGTAGACTACATTTCTTTACACCCACACAAACCTGAGGCTGAAAGCTTTGAAAGACCACAGAAATATCTGCTCATGAAGATTACAGGACCTGGCTAGGTATCGCATTTCTCTTCTGGGAGGCAGGGAATGTGAGAGACCTTAATGTTTCATATTGTATAGACATTCGGTCCTCCTCAGTTTAGTCAACAGATCGATAAGGTGTGAGCTGAAACTGAGCCTTGAAGCACTTTGCTTTGGAAACATTTTCAACTATTTATGAGGCTGCGTGTCCACTGACAGAGCATTAAGTGGTTAAGTGTGCAATCAGAATTAATTCAACACATTTTGCCTATGAACACTTTACAGCTCTATATAGTTTTAATAAATAGGAAATAGGAAATAAAAATAAAAAAGGGCTGTCCCAGTAGGAGAATGAATAAAGTAACTGGGATTGACTCATGTTTTAAGTTGGACAAGAAGTGGAGAAAATAAACAGTTAATTAGCAAACAAACGATTAGAAGTATTTACATCTACATGACAGCAGAATTCACTTTCCAAAACTATTGACTGCACTCTGAATGTTTGCTTCAAGATGATTTAGCAAAGAGGGGATATGGAGAAGGAGCCAGAAAAAGACCAGGAATGCTTTCTCCTGGAAGACATCATGAGCTGGGACTAAGTTGGGTTTGGATAGTCGAGTGAATAGATAGCAGATGTGCTACGAATGCCTTGCTCATAAAATTGCCAAACAGCACTGCCTGCATCTGGACAAAGCAAATAGAAAAAGGGAGGAGAGGGTAGTGTTTGAGTGGAAATGTCTTTCAAATAGCTAGCAAGCATTTCTGTGTGGCTGAGAGGCAATCTGGATGCTTTTTCAATACAGAAACAAGCTTTTCCTGAAGTGTTGGAAAAGCCAGTGATCTTTGCCTTTCAGTGCCTTAAATATAACGTTTATAGTTCTGGAGTATTTTTTTCGTTTCTTTATTTGTTTTGTTTTTTGTGTAGGTGTGTACATACATGAGTGTGTGTGTCCTTCCTGCTATTAAGCTGCCCAAACGTCCTTAAAACAAACGTAATAGGAGCACTAAAGCAGTGTGGGATGATGAATGAGGGACAGACAACAGGGGCCTATTATTAGAGCATGTGAGAAACATGCTAAAATCAAATAACTCTTCTAATCATTGGGGTAGTTACGAGACTTGAATGATGCCAGCACAAAGGAAAAGGCGCACAACAAATTCCAATACCATGGACTTTAAAATAACAACATAAGAGGTATAAAATATCCTTAAAAACCAGGGGAAAAAAAGCCAAATTCAGGAGCAGGCTCGTAAAGAAGCACCACTTACATCGACTTGAATGCAACGCAGTTATCATTGTTATTATTGCGACTGCATTAACAAAAAGCCCACAGTCACAAACAGACAGTTTACAAAAAAATCAAAGGGAAATGAAAGCACTGTGTGCTGGGGACAAAAATCAAGTGGCATATTTTTCTTTTTAAAAAACACACAGGCGCTAAATACATCTTTTAACATTAATCACCCCCTTTGATTTATTTCTGACAGTTTAAGTGCTCATTACCAAAACACTTATCATCAGAGATGTAATGATTATGATTGTGTCGAGCTGCATGTCGACCTCAGTGATCTGACTGACACGTCTCTGTCTGCTCAGATTCCTGAGTCAGATGTTCACCTCAGCTCAGCGTTCAACAATTATGTACGACATCTTTAAATGTGGTGAAACTGTAAATTTCATTGTGGTTTCAGCCGCCTCAGCAGTTGAGAAGTTGTTTGCTGGGATGGACCCGCCCCAGTTTGACGGCATGTTTGTTTGTGCGAGTTTCTGAGTCAGCCCACTTATTGTCCTCACAAAGCGTTGCTGGGGCAAAGGCACTGAATGCAGCCATGTCTTTGCAATAAGTTTTAAACTGAGTGAACCCAAACTGACTCATGTTAAACTGTGTACATTTATTTCAACCCCACATCCAACTGGCTAAACTGGGAGAATTATATATTTAATTGATAGGAATGAAATCCAGGTGTTAGGAACTTGTGCCTGCACTGATTCAGATAAAAGCAAAAAGCCTAAACTCATTTATGAACAGGGGACGTTGGTATTCTGTTCAACATTATCATTTCACCCATTCATTTGTTTATCCTGAGAAAAAAAAAGAAGTGTAACGTGGTACTTTTACACAGTGCAGCGTCAGCCCACTGCTCCACGCTCCCTGTATTGTGCATTTCTTCCAAAGGCTCCTTAGTCTCATAATGAGATTAATTAAACCAGTGCAGAGTTTGTTTAATGAGGCTCTGATAGCCCAAAGCACAGAAATGAACTACGGCTGGGAATTAGAAGCTTCACGCTCCACACACAATGGTAAAAGGTTTCATGTTAGCTTTTAAAAATGGGGCTTAGACAGCTAAATATTTGCGTCAGGATGCTATAATCCTTTTAGTTTCTGAGAAGGGGAAGCAGAAGGGAAGTGACAGAAAAGGTGGGATCCAAACAACAGAAGATGGGATGTATGATAAATCTGCCTCCTGTGTCGCTAACACTCCAATATTACTGGAGGAGTGACTTGTGGGGGACCTTGGTGCTCTTTTTTGTGCTACACTTATAGTACATGGTTACAGGAGTTACTCTGGTATTGGCCTGCAACTGGGTTTAACAACAAATGGTCACACATTGGTTATTTTCAGATGTCGAAGTCATTGTTTAAGACAGCGGTGTGACATAAAAGTGTTTGCTAAATCAGTTTTAGGAACAGATCTGCTGAATGATTGTCAGCTGGTTCTGACTCATGGTGCTCTATGGTTAGAGTTGTGCTGCTGTAATTCAGTTAGCCCGAGTGAAGCGGCTCCTAATGCACCAGCAGTTATACCTTTCTCATCATAAATTAGATCGAAACCTTCTCAATTTATGACTAAGTCATACATCAGATGGTGAGGAGTGGATCTTGGAGAAACCGCAGTGAAATAAACAGATCAAAGGCAATTTGGCTTAAGTATGAAGGTGGAGATCTCTGGGGGTATCTTTAGGGATGATTGATGCTAGAATCCCATTTCTTGAGTTCTAGATAGACTCAACACACAAAAGTTTTAAAGGCCTGTGAAGAAGCTCACCACAGCAATCATGTACTAAAACATGAAGGAAGAGACAGTGAAATCAGTTAAGGGGAGTGGTTGTTCTTACCTATTTGCCTTTCCAGGTCAGCTGCCTCATCTGGGGTGGCCCTGGGCAGTACCCCAGGGTCACTGAAGCTGGTTCTCAGAAGAGTCCCCAGTACAAACAAAAACAGCACACCTCCTATGACAGGGATGATCGGAGTCAGCTGAAGAGCCAGGAATTGACAACTGGAAGAACAAAAAATAAAAAATAAAATAAAAAAAGATGATGAGGGAAAGTACCAAACCCAAAGACTGGACAAACTCCTCCTCCCAGTTGAGATTAAAGCTTAAAATTAGGACAACACCCACGACACGCTGCTCACTGATAAGCAGGCGGGTACAATGGCATAGCAGACACGCTTGACTTGAGGTCAGTCCCCTATTCGTTCTAATTAGAACATTTTCTATTATGCTATTAAATATCCAACAGCACAGGTGATTATTATCCTAATAACAAGTAGTCACAGAGGATTAGAAGCACACTGCTGCATCACATTTCATTTGTGAGTCTGTATTCTTTTGGACTATATTTGTGATAAAAAAAGAGCTAAAACTGATTGAAAACAATATGGTCAGAGAAATGCGAAAGACCGCTGACACAATAAGTCTGACGAACCTATTAGAAAACTGAAGCTATATTTTACTGTCAATATACACACTGGTTTCTTTTCAATACATATTTTATGGCCCCTAATGGACAGTGCATCAGTATTATACCATCTCACCGGCCTTCAGATGGCGGCACCTTAGGAGGGCAGTTACATCCGCCAGCCTGTGCCAACACCAGTTAATCTGCTGAAACAAGCCAAACTATATCTAGGCTCATCATGTCGGGTTCCACCAAAGGAAGAGCTTAAACTTCAATTTGACAATCTGCTTTCACTATTAGTGTTACAGAAAACTAATGTTAGTCATCAACATGTATGAAGACCCTGCAGCTAACAGTGTCAGGGGCTTAAATCCCACACTTAGCTGTTTGTTTGGGTAGCAAAATAATCTGCTGGAAATACCTGATTGGAGGCTAAACGGAGAGCAAAATGTTTGAGAGAAGAAACAGAAAAATACACATAAAACAATTGTGGCAATCCGTCTGGGCACCACACTGGGCGGACAAGTGGAGATACACTGAACTAAGCAAAAAGCACAGACTGTCTAGGGCATCACTAGGAAGCTGCAGGCTGGACAACACAGTTTAGTGGCCCCACTTTTACAGGTAAAAGGTCAGCAGACTAGCACAATGCCTCCAATTATTTGAAAATTGCGCATTTACCCAAAATGCTTACATTTTACCCCCCTCAGTTCTCTGTAGCTCATTTAGTGCGCAGACACACAAAGAAGTCATTCCAATTTCTGAGGGGCACCGTTTTGTAGCTCACCTTTCTGTGAAGATTTTGAATTGCACAGACTAGATTGTTTCATTCTAAATCTCATTTTGACTTTATAATATCATATCGCCGCAACAACAGTAGATTATTTTAAAAGCAGGCTTCATCATGAAGGCTTTTCACCAATTCCATTCATCATCCCTTCAGTTAATTCACTGCATTTCTGAATAAATTCTTGATCAAGAAAAAAATAATATTTATTGTCTTTATGAGATCACAATGCAGTTTTGCAGACTCCTGGCTGAAAAGACACAGACACATTTAAATAAAATGGTAATATGAATAATGTGCTGGTGCATGTCCAGTCCATGAAATGTGCTGATGGGATGTGAGCGTTTGATTACAGGGGGGCGATTGCTTTAACAGCTCTGGGGGAAAAGCTTTCCCCGAGTGCGTTTGTACTGGATTTAATGTCACTGTACCGTTATCCTGTTGGAGGCGGTAAAGGGAAATTATACAGGTGGGAGGGATCTGTGGCAATGTGTCTGGCCCTCTTCTGAACCCAGCATAAATTGAGTCTAGATCTGGTGGACGGGATCCCACATACACACGATAGCTCATGCTCAGCATCCAACTACTCAACACATTAATCTTAACAGAATGAATGGGAATCATGCTCTAAATGTTTTTACTGTGACTAGCTGAAACATCTTAGCATACTTTATTGCATTTATAGATGTCAGTTTGGTCTTATGTGACAAAGTGTACCCATTACCACTGAGAGGTAGCTTAGGGAGGGCTACCAAAAGACATATAAAAACTATTCATTTTCTTTGGCAGCCAGAGTAAAAGCATAACAAAGAATAGCAGCAGATTTCAGGCCATTAGGTCTGCGCTGCAAGGACAACTACTTAAGAAACAAAGAACAAGAGATGACAACTCCAATCATGCAGGCAAAGAGCTTACTATTTATTCTCTTGGCTGGAGGTGTTAAGAGATGGAGCTTCACATTATAAATACATCTAACCGAGCCACTGACTAAACAATCAAATAATACCATCAGTAAAACTTCACAACTTCCAAACACTTTAAAAAAGAAAGCCTCCTAATGCCCAGCCAGCATGCCTGAAGACATTAGTGTGAACCAGCAGAAAATAATGAAACATTTGTAGCTATTCGTTGGCTGTTTAGATGTGCCCCTGATATGCAGGCAAAGTCTGACGACATTGCTGAATGTCTTTTCATCTTCAATCTGGTCTTGTTGGTACAGAAATAAACATAACAGAAATAAATTCAGCTGCTTTCCAGGCTTTGGTTAGGGGTGCTAAATCTGCAACAATGAGCCCAGATCCAAGATTTCAACTCGAATTCACCAAGAAATACAAAAGCACTGAGCTGTGTGATCACGCTGCATTTAGTCTTTTTTGCAGAGACAGCTACAACATAAGGACTTGAACTCTGTTCCAGAGAAAACATAATCAGATTTCCAAACTGGCAAAGTCAGATGGAGTCTGCAAGATTGCTGAGGAACGACACCCAACAGCACCTCTGTCCTCTAAGAGCCGTGTCTCAATGTGTCTGGCGTCAGGAACATAATGAAAAGGCAGTCATGTGTGATACGAAGTGGCAGGTCAGTAAAAATCAGACAGAGATTAAACACCAGCTCCAGCAGAGACGGAGGACAACTCCAACACAGGGCCTGCCACAGAAGAGAATCAATAGACATATATGGATGTGCTGCAGATAAGCTGCAACATGCAGAGTAACTTCCCAGAGAAGAAAAGGTCCCGAAAATACATCCTCATCAACATGAGTGGTAAAGGCCCATTCAGCCCGTTTTAAAGAGCAGAAAGAACAAATATAGAAACAGTCCTATCTTCATTTGTACTTGCTTCACACCTAATCTTATTATTTACTGAGACCTTAGAGGCTGTGTTGCCATGGAGACGGACAGTTTCCAATGTCAGACATGGTAAATTTCAAAAAGGAATGTGGTTACCCTGGAAACAGCTACATGAGTGAGCTGAAGCCTCCAAGGAAGAGAAAGAATAAAAAGAAACAGACATTCAACAATACAGAGAATTCATGATGAGATTCGTTATGATCCGAAGCGTCTCATAAAACGGTTTGCGGGTCTGATAAGGCCGGCTGAATAACCGCGGGCTGAACACCAGAAATACTGCCAATAATGGTTCTGATCACACAAGAAGCCTGGGTTCAGGGCTAAAAGCCAGGACAAACACGACTGATGAGCTGATTATGAGTATGATGCATCAGAGCTGACAGCTCAGCCACATGTTTGGTAATTATAACAAAGCTGGCCGGGGAGGCCAGCCCGCTGTGTCACGGCTCAGCCTTCTGTCAAAAACAGATTTAAAAATCCAGGTGTAAGACAAAAACATTTAAAAAACTGATGGTAACCTCCAGATGGTTATTACAATAAATACATTCCTACAGGTAGCGCAAGATTGAAACACGAAAAAGAAATTGGAGATATTTCCAGGAAGATTCCCTCTAAGCCTCTCTACCAAAGGTACGTTTTAAGTTCAGGTTCTCAGGTCTCAGGTCATTTTCTCAATTTTCGAAAATTTTAATGTCGCAGACAGATGTTGCAGGTTCCAGACAAAAGGCCATATTTTGAGGCAAACCATGCTCAATCAGCAGTCAAAAATCACATTGTACCAAAACGTAGAGGTACATGTGCATGACCCAGTAGCAAGCAAATATCTGACATCCCTGACATTCTGAGGATCATACGGATAACAAAGCAGAGGATGGGGCTCGAGGGACCACAGATCCATCTGCTGAGGAAACTCAGGAAGCAGAATCTGGTTTAACACTGGCAAGAGCACCGATGGGCTTTTGATGTTTTCAGCACGCAATATCATGACGCACAGGAGAGAAACACTCTGTTCCCTCCAACAGCCAGCTGTGGAAAATGTATTTTATGATGTAAACCTGTCAGGACTAGAGGGTTAATTGTGCCCCAGACACACATTACTGGGGTAGTCTGAACATATGATGACCTGTGAACTTGGAGTTAGTATCTATGTTACTGATCTCTGGTGAAAAGCAAACGACAACCTGAGCTTTAAAAACCAACCAGCATTCGTGTTTCATAAATTATTTAGTGACAAGTTTCTGTCACTGAATCATTTATTTGGAGACTGAATCTTACAGACTTTAACTAAGTTGGACCCCCAAAAAAGGTTCTTCCTCCACTCACACAAATGAACCAGATTAAGTCCCTCATTTGGAAATGAGGTGTTTTCTTGTATTTAACAAAAGAATATTAACAAACAACAGATTAACCAACTAATTCAACTCAAAAATACAATTTACAGCACACTTCCCATTCAATGTGGACAGCTATGAGCTGGAGTTCAAACTGACTTGTCTTTTTGAGCGGCGGGGGGGCAATCCTGTTCTGAGGCTGGGGTCACAAAACTGAATGCATCAGATCCTATTGCATGGGAAATCCAACACATTATGCACATAGGTGTGTATACTCTGGATACACTTATGCATTTAGCAGATGCTTCTATACAAAGCGACTTACAAAAAGTGGGTCAAGCAGAAGAGTCTGGGTGTACAGTCCTAACTACAAAAAACACTTTCAATAATTTTCTCATGTTTCATGTACACCATCCACTCAATTTACCATGTTATTAGTACCACTGTTTGTAACACTAACACAAGGAAATTAAAAGCATGAAGTGGGTCGGTTTTGGGGTTGGTCACATTGGCTGACCCTGTCGCTGACCAAAGCTCCATCGCATTTCCCTTCATAAAAGATGCCCTGGTGCATCACATGCGCCAAGGAATAAGAAACTAAGCGCTCACAATGCAAAGAGAAAATAG